CCACCACCATCAGGAGGATGTAGATAGGATAGGACGATTATCGGATTGTGACTTCCGACGATGCACCAGATTCGTCACCGTTTGTGAGCTATAGCCCTTGACTACCTCACGACGACTGTTCCGCCATTTGTCTAGACATGGAATGAGAGAACCTCATACTTACCATTGTCGAGTGTTTCCCCGAGTTGTCCTAGGTTGATAGTGCATATTGGTATGCCTGTCTGTACTTAAGTTACATGGTCAGACCTAAAGTCTAGGGCCCTTACATTCTTATCGGATCGGTTTGACTGTCTCATCTCAGGTCTTAAGTTTCATTGATCAAGTACAAAAGTATTCGCCCCGTCCTGCATCAAAAGACTAACCAGGCGACAAACTCTAGTGTCCTCAATTTAAGAGATGTCGACATTAGTGTCTGTGTGTGGCAATGTGGGTCTTGTGACACCCAATGTAGTAAGGTGGTGTGTCGATGGTCCCAATGTGCACACCTTTGAGCATGTTGCCATATAGCTAATGTTTTCTACATGTGGCTGGTGGGTGCATGTTGTGTGGTACACATGCACCTATGTGTCTTAAAGGAGATGGAGCTGGTGAGGGGAGGTTGGTGTGCCCTAGGATGAGATGAGGTTGTGAGGTTGGCAGTTGCATGAGGCTAATGCACCCTCGAAGGAGATGGGGAAAATTCTAATACCATCTGTATTAAAAGAGAGTATGTCTCATGGAGGAGGCCTCTACCCTCTATCTATATAGGGAAAGGCCATACGAGAGAGAGAGAAAGAGATACTATAAGTCTATTAGGCCCATTAGACTCATACAACCCACTCATAGTACAAGCAACAATATGGAATTGACTTCACTGAGACCTTTAGTCTAGTTGTTAAAATAACCACTATTCACCTCTTACTAGCCTCAGCCATTAATAGTGGATGGTTCATCTATCAACTTGATGTATCTAATGCCTTCTTACATTATAGTTGGATGAAACATTTTTTATGGAATAACTGTTGGTTTTATTCATGCTCAATTTCGAACACATGTTTGCCATTATAGTTTAGTTTTTTTAGCTTTAAGACTAGTACTTTGTTATTTTTTAAATTGTCCCTTAGCTCCTTGCTTTTTGTTTTGATCTATATGGATGACATTTTAGGTATTGGCTCATGCCCAAGGGGAGTTGATGGTCTTATTGTTTTCATTAAAAATGAATATACTATCAAAGATCTAGGTGCAACACATTTTTTCTTAGGCATTGAATTTATTAATATCGACAACAACTTTCTACTCTCTCAATAAAAAAATATTATTACTTTACTTTGTAAATCTAGCATGACTATTTACAATGTCTACATCTTTACCTATCTCTTATTCAAAGACATTATCTTCCAAAAAAATTCTAGACCTATCTTTGTATTGTAGAATTGTAGTCACTCTTCAATATACACTTAGTTAAGTGCCTTTAGTGATTCAATTGAAAACCTACAATCCACCAGTGGTTATTTAATTTTCCCTCGTTGCAATCTTGTTTCTTGAAATTATAAAAAGCAACATATGGTTTCAAGATCCTACATACATGTAGGGTACAAGACCATTGCCAATGCAACAATTGAATTAATTTGAATTTATTTTCTTTTGTAGGCAATTGGTCATCAACCACTACATACTCACAAAGAGTCTTCCAAAAGCTTGGTTCCACCAGTTATGCAGCAAGTTCTATGTCGTTCCCAACATGAACTTGAAGGGGAATGCAAAGGACAACACCCCTCAGAAAAAATCGCTCAATGAATTTCCAAGAAAGCCATTGAGCATATGGCTGTTGCAACATAACAAAACTCATTAACAACCTTGAAATAACTCTATATAAACATTCACCTTACATCACTATAAAATTAAGTTTTCTACATCAATAATAAAATCATATCTTTTACTCTTGTTCTCCTCTATTCTTCTTCTCTTCATCCTCTTCTTGTTCATCTTTTTTTCTCACAATCCTTACCTCTTCTTTTGAAGGATGCTGGAGGAAATTGAAAACACTACTAAACTGATCCCCTTATGTCTAGAGGAGTTGTGGGAACTCAAAATGCTGAAGGAAGAACCACTATGGAGATTTATCAATGGAAAACAAGAAGTAGAACTGATAAGATTAAAGAGCTCTAATGATCAGTGGCACAAAAGTTGCAAGAAGCATCAGGAGATGTGAGTTTTCTTTCTATCCATTGTTGCCCACTTTTGTATTTTTTAGATCTGAATTCTACTAGGAACCTTTCTCTAAGTCTTTGCTGACCGAATCTGGAAAAAAATGAACCTTTAACCATGGTTGGCTTCTGACAAGTGTTCTATTTCTTCCGAAAATGAAAATGAAAACATGCGAAGGATTGCTCCCACTGTGTAGAGGAAGGGGTCTGGTTGTAGGGGTGTTGGGGTGTAGAGTTAAGACCTCGGACCTCTTTATGCACTTGGCAAGGTCTGACTAGTTCTAATTTCATTCTAGGCTTGTTTGCAATACACATAAATGTAAAAACCTTGCATTTGATCCTCCTTTATACCAACATGCCTGACTATTTAAACCACACTCTTTTCACTAATATTGGGGCTCATTTGACCTTTTGACTTCCTTAACTAGGAACTAGGACATGAACTTGGAAACCTGCTAATTAAAGGACAAATGGCCAAAACCCTAGGGCTTCATATGCTTACAATGGGATAGATTTGGAAATATAGGCGAACATTAGATAAGTGATGAAGTTTAGAGTGTTTAATCAACAAATAAAGGAAAATGGAGCATTTTTCACAATAAAATAAAAATAAAATTCATCAAACATTAAGAAACATCATCATTTGATACAAATCATTTTGTAAACAATTAATAGCTAAATTGAATAAAACTAAAACATTGTCATAACAAGAAGCAACAGTGTAAAGTGATATATTTTTGAGTTTTAGCTTTAACATAATATTTACTCATGGGATGATATAATATTACAATCTTTGTCATCATCATGCCAATGTTGGCCCCTAGTTTTCTAGTTGGGCAAACTAAGAGAGATGCAGATGAATTGATTCTTATATATACATAATATTTAAGCTTTTATATATTTTATAATGATTTTCGTTAACTTTAATTTAATTTAGAAACTAAAAGAGATGCTTGAAATATAATTTTACACTGGTTTGCTCAAACTCCTTTGATCTACATCTGCCAAAAAAAGAAAAAAGAAAAATCTTGACATCCACTTTACTTTTGCCTTATGAGGACTCCATCCTATATGCCTTTAGAAGTCTACAGCATTTTTTACATGATGGTATAAGGCCCATCCTCTTTAGGAAAATTACGTAATTCCACTAGAACCTTGTAAATAAATTTCATATCATGAATGAACTTCAAGTACACCACCAAAAATAAGGCTTCCATAAGGATAATTTATTATTATATTTATGTCTGACCAATTATTCCTTCTTGAGACTTGTGCTTCAACTTTAACAGATCAATTCATAAGAAAATTCAAAATAACTCTTAAGTAGTCCACAATAACTCTTAAGCCCCAGTATTAGCATCCAAAACATTAACGTGAAACTGAACTATTTTCTCTCGGAACATTATTTATACACCACACACATAGATAGAGATAAAAAGTTTTTGAAAAGAACATTCATGCGAAGCTCATAAATGAAAACCCATGATCCAACTTCTTAAAGGAACCTAGGCTATATTCCAACAGATAACTGCTGACTAAATGACCTACATGTCAAGAGATGGCACAGAAAACAGCACATACAGTCTTCAGGAGATGTAAAACCATTCTGTTTTAAAGACTGTTCCCATTCGACAAAAACATAAGTTTATAACTGGGAGTAAAGAAAAAGCAACACCTTAGGGAATTGATCCTTTGAAAAAGAAATCAGTCCCTCTCTCGACACTTCCACACAGAAATTATGAACAAGAGCAGCGTCAAAAGACAGCATTCACCAGCCAAGAACAGTGAGCAATTGCCTAATGCACTCACCAGTGCCAAGCATTCAGAAATTTACATACATGTGAACATTGACAAGCATTAAAAGATATGCAATCCCAAGCTAAGAAAAATTATCATATGCATAGAGCATACACCAGAGATAATTGTTGATCATCAAAATCTTTAGCATGTAGAAACAAGGGTGAATGTACGAAATATTTGTAATTTTTAGTGAAGAGTGTAGCGTATTGTGTATGCATTAACATTCAGTGAAAATATATTTATATATAGATATCACTGCCAAAGATATCACGTTCCTATTCATATACCTGAGCCAAAGCTGGACCTCTGATGCGGGGTTAATGGATACAACATAGATGATAATCGAAGCTAATAAACTGTGGCAGATTTAGACAAAGAAATCGAGAAAAGTAAGGAGTCTCATACAGATCAAGACTTTCCCGCAATAATAAATCGGTCAAATCACGCGGTTTAGATAATCTACTGAATAGGATACCCGTAATTGAATAAATCAGATATTATCCTATCAAAGGCTGGAGGTCACCTGAACACACACGGTGGCTATCTTATGGACTCTCAGACGACCGTGGGAAGAGGGTATATTAAATAACTAATGAAATGGAGAAGGCGAAGAAGTGATACTGGAGCCTTGATCCTTGGATGATGGGTTGGTCGTTGACAACAGATGGTGGTTGGCGGCTGAAGGCGACTCACGATGGCGACAGCGGTGGCGGGTGGCCGCGGAAATGGAGGCGGACGTTGATGGCAGTAGGTGGCTCTTCGAGGACGGGCGGCGACGGGAGAGGAGAGTGAAAGTAGGGCGGGCGAAAGAGAAGGGGGTGATGGGGGTCAATGGTGGCAGCGAGTGGAAGGCGGAACAGGTGAAGGGCAGAGGTAAGGATGGAGGCGGCGGCAGCGGCAGACGGCAATGACGGTCGATGGCGGAGGTGAAAATGAGGCAGGCAACGACAGCGGGCGGCAGGGACGGCGAGACATGGGCTGCGGCTAAGGCGTGGGCAAGCTGACGGCGGTAGGATGGAAGGAAGGAGAAGTGGGGGAACAGAGGGTGAGGGGGGGGGCTGGAGGAGAAGCTCCAGACCAGGAGCGGCGGAGTCCTCCGACCAACCCAAGCCGGGGCGACGCGATCAAACGATCAGGTAAGCAAGCTACGTTTCTTGGCGTTGTCGACGGTGACGAGAGCGGCGGACGGTTGGTTCCCTGGCGAGATCCACGTCGCGCGTTTCCAGTTTTCCCTCTTGAACGGCTCCACGTTCTTCAGGTGATGGGGAGCTGCATCGTGCTGCATCAACCTCGCCCCGCCATCAATAGAACCCGACGGTACAAAGTGTCGGTCTTCCTTTTGCTCTTGTATGCACATCTTATGAGACGCAACAACTTCAGTGACCAAGATAGCGAGCTTTCACATCACAGGCACGCTTTGCCGTAGAATCCGGCAGAAGGCTGCCACCACTAGTACCCTTCGCCTTTCTCCCCTTATGAGACTTCTCAGGAGCAGCAGAAGATACAACTGACACGAGGCTCTCTAGCAGGGAAACGCCCTCCTCCTCCGCCTGCGAATACTTCCCCCAGGTCTCCAAGCAACAAAGAAGACTACATCTCTAGAGGTGCACCGAGAATGGCTTGCCTGCAAGGCAGGGGGAAACGCACCAGAGGCAGTCAAGCATGACTCGGTACACACCAAAAAGCTCCCCCGCCCAATTCTCCTCATTCCTTGGGCATTTCCTTAGGACGGAGGGGAGGATCTTCAATGGACGGGAGAGGAATGGAAGGAACTTAAGACCCAAATTTACCTTAAAAATTTTCACAATTAAGTCACCCTCTTTCCACTCATTTTTCTTACCTACTCATGATGGTTGTTACCCCAAATAACACTTATTCTTTACATATGTCACTTATTTTTCTTCATACTCATCTTTCTCAATATTCCCTCATCCTTTTTTAAGTTGTATATGTTTGAATTAAGATTTTTATTTATCAAAAAAATAAAAAACAAAAATAAGGAGAATAGAAGAAAGAAAAAGTCATTGAAGGGTAGAGATCACTGGGAAATTCTTTTGTCTACTTATTTCATGTTCTCAAATGATACTATGTAATTTCTTTCAATCCAAGCATCTTGATTTGGAAGCATAACTATCATGAGTGGAACTTAGCCATTGCATATATAACTTATAATTGCCACTGTGTTAAATTATGCTCTTCAATCCATGACCTACCTTATTAGTATATTATTTTTTCATTGTTTCTATTTATCCACCTTTCTTGTATCCCATCTTTTTATCCACTTTCATTCTGTACCACAAAGAAGAGATGTCTTTGTACTACTTTCCTTAAAGGGAAGAAAGGCTAAAGAGGATTCTTAAACACCAAGTAGCCACCATATACAAGAGAGAGAGATATCCATTTATAAGAGGTTAAGATTAGACACATTATTAAAAGGTGAGAATCTTTTCATGCCTATATTATCATACCTAGAGATATGCTCATTCTCTTTTCTTACTTGTGGCTCTTTTCAAAAATCCTAAGAGGTTGATCAAGATGATAGAATATGAACTTCCATGAGTTGTGATCATATGCTGAGGTGTGATCAATACTTTGAATACTTCTTGTCTTCATATTTCAAGATTGAAAGGTGAAAAGACAATATGAAGAGAACTTAAAGAAAATTATTAATGAACTAGCAATGAGTAAAGTGGGGGGTATTTGACAATTATAAATTAGTAATTATATCTATGCATTAATATCTTATATATAGATGATAATTAATGAGTAGATAATACAATTATACATATGTTACTTATTCTTTATGATATTGATAATATTTTATCATTTAAATCTTAATACATATTATTATACTTATTTTATTTATATTATGAGATTAACCCCACTTAACTTTTATGAAGTCAAGTGATGTTTCTTTCACATTTTCTTGATAATTATTTGATTGAAAAGATTTAAGTGAGCTCTTATTATGAGTTGAAAGTAATAGAAAAATCCCAAGCCTTCAGCCCAATGAAAAGCCCAAGTCTTATGGAGAGGGCCGGCCTAATATGTTTATGGGCCCAAGAGAAGACATCGATTTGACATATACCCCATTTGGACTTAAAAGAGGTATCAAGATATAAGATATAGATTATTCATCTTAGAGCACCTTAAGATGAGATTAAGAGAAGAATTAGAGTGCTGCCCTCATAGGATGATCTAAGTCATTCCCCAAGAGAGTTGGTTATTAATCTTAACCATTTATTAGAGGGGCCTAACTATCGAAAGGATTAAGACACTTCGCCCCCTTCTTGGAGGATTTTTTTGGTTCTCTTTTTAGTAGTGACTATCAAAAGAAACAAGAGGAAAATCAAGGTTAGATCGAGCATCACTCGACTTAGGATTAACACACAATGAGGTTTGTGCAAGATCTAGATTTGAGGTATCTTTGTAATCCTCTCCATAAATAGAGTAACATTTAATTCAAACTAGTTTTATCATTTATTCTATCATTCAATTATGTTAGATTCATTCTCTCCCTATTGTCATATTTTTCATAACTCTGATCTTCACTCTTTACATTTAATTCCGACCTTCACAATTTCATGTATATATATCTATATAGGAAACAAAAAAAGTAGAATTCGTACTTATCTTAAATACAAGAGTGAGGTTTTATAAATATTATTTGCATGAACTTAGTTACATCACGACAACATATTTAACCTCCAATTCGAGTTCATCAGATTATATGTATTATTCTCCTCTACATTAAGGTGAACAAAATCATGTTCTAATGTATAGTGTGGTCTAACCACCACAAGTTAGGTTTTAATCTATCTCCCTTCTTAGGTCCCAATTAGCTATATCCTTAATTCCCTCTCTAGATAGATTACTTAAGCTAGGATCATTTGTAGCTAGGGGCTTTTGATCATTATTGATCTTCCCTAATCCCTCTCCCCCACCTTCTCAATTTTCCATTCCCTTCCATCCCACTCCTTCCTCAAATTTTGTTTTATCTAGTAATTCCCTACTTGCGTCATGTTCTCTCTCTTATACATTTTGGCCCATCTTCACTACCTTGTATTCCCTCTTTCTATTACCATACCATGTTCCCCCCTAGCTCTATCCCTCACTCATTCCTCACCTTTGTCCTCTTCCTTATTATACTTCCTTCCCCTCTCTCCCCACCTTCTCCATACGACTCTCCCTCTAAAATCTTGCATTCTCTCCTATTGTACCAACAATTCTAAGTTTCATATCATAATTTCCGACAAGTCATGTAGTAGGGGGTTTCTTTTCTACAACCACCATTTGGTTAATAACCTCCTAATCTCCTTTATTTATCATTATGAATTCTAAAACGGGTATGAATATGTCAACTTCCATACACACTCTAGCATAACTTGGCCTAATGAAATGTGTTACATTTTTGTCTAAGCATATGAATGTTCCAAGCATGGCCACTATGCTCTAAAGATTGAGGGTTTAAGAAATACGGTCTTATCCCCAAGAAACCAACTCATATAGGTGCAAACAAGGGGTCTAGACCTAGGGAGAAAAGGGGGACCATTGAAATGAATTCATTAATTATCTATATATGCTTAATAATGATTTACTCCACACCATGTGGAAACTAGAGCTTAATTCAAACCTAATTACCACATCTAGCATTTAGTGCCGCCATTAATACTTTCTCCTCTAATTTTCTTATTATCCTAATTTCATCTCTAATTACCATTAGGTGAGGTTTCTTATGATTAAATTTATCAACTATGGCTTCCTTGAATGGTGTTGTTCGTTGTTTGAACTTTTCCCTTGAGAATTCTATTGTGGAGATTCCTTCATGATGACTCTTTTGTAGGGATACCTCTACATATCTTGGTCTAACGTGGTCATTTCTAGTAATTGTAACATGTGATAACTTAAGGGTGACCTCTTAATTCCTCTAGACTCTTCTAGGTCCTCAATATTGGTACTATGTTTATGGGTAGGCTCATATGGTCTCATGATGGTTGGTTCGTCTAATTTATCCTCACTGTGTTGATGATCACCTTCCATCAGTTGGCTTCCTATGATTCCTTTTGATGTGGTCCCAACCTCATGTGATGTTGATGGATTCATCTTCCAATAGTTACCAGGATTACTGTGACAATAGACTAGGATTCATATTAGCGATCGAGTTCAAATGCACTAATGCCTCTATAGTTTGATGTATTTAAGCTCATTTATATCCTGCTACCTTTTTTTACTTGCCTTGTCCTTCAGATCTTCTATTTGAATGGTAGTGCTCAATTCTTGGTGCTCCAATCCCTTTTTAGGGCTTTTGTGTTGCTCTTGTCCCCAAATTTTGTCCTCATCCCTCCCCTCCTCTCCATTCTTTGCTTGGGCTTTGGTTCCTTCTTCAACCACATCATTCTAAACTTTCATAGTTTACCCTTTATTTGATATCTCCCATATTTCTTGTGAATTTATTTAACATCACATATTAATATTCACATAAATTCCATTTTAAAATTATTATCATAAAATTTATATATTTTAAAAGTTTATTGTTTCTTTTTGACAAATTGTATAGAGTTGCCTCTTGAAATATCTAAATTTTATATGCTCAAAAAATAAAATAACATTATTCAAAGGATAGTGCACTATATTTTGAGAGAAGTAAACTTGGTTGAGAGAGAGAGAGAGCATGTGCCTAAATTTATATGATTGCTTGATTCTGGACATAATCACTATCATGACAATTCACTTATTTACAATTTTATACACCCAATAAGTCTCCATGCCCAATCTTTCACTAATGATAGTTTTTTCATCTTCACCACAGCTATGTGGTAGGCCTAGTGAAGCCTCCTACTATGCCTCAAGAATCATACCTTTGCATCAAAGTTGTTGATGGCATGCATGCTCTACCACCCTATTGCTTTGGCATACATAGTTGCACTCCTTATCCTCTACATGGAATTGCTTATAATTCCATGGAAAATCAAAGAAGAGTCAATCTATAAGAAAAATCCCAACCTAAGCTCTCTCTCTCTCTCCTTTCCTCTCTCTTTAAGAAATGGTAGGATGATAGAGAAATGAAAATTATATTTTTTTAGTAATTTATTTTTATCTTAATCTATAATTCTTGTCACTAAATAAAATAAAGAGTTGTAGATCTCCTTAAAAAAATTGATGATAAAATATCTAAAAATACATTTAGGCCATATAAAAAGAAAATGTGTTTTGGATGTATACTTAACCACCTAGACAGTTCTATTTAACTTAGTTTATTGGAGGCTTATGAGCCAAAATGATTTAAATGTTTATTCATCATATCACTTAATCAAAAAAGAAATAAACAATGAAAAGTTGCATGTTGGTTATTTCTATCAAGATTCAAGTTTCTTTATCATCTATCGGTAAAACTTCTATTAATTCTAAAATTAATCAAAATATGCTATTTATAAGCTTCAAAAGTAAATACGACAATATAAGTAGGTTTTGATACAAGTGACATGTGTGCTTGAGATTATTTTATCATAGATAAAAGTTTCTCTTATGCATCCTTCGAAATTCCATAATATTTTCATAATTAAATCACATGTATCACAGAAAATTACATTGAAAACAACGTACAAATTGGCAAGAATCTCGGTGAAAGAGGCATTCTAAGGGGCTAGTAAAAGCTTGAAAAATTGAACTTGATTGGGTGAAAATAAGCTGCAGATGACTATGATGTGATTATAGAAGCCTTTTCTTGTCTACTAGAAATGACATAGCTTGGTGGAGTCAAAATGATTTTTTAAAAAAATAGATACATAATTTATTTTTTAAAATGCTTATTTTGGATACTAGAGTAGGGGGATACGTATATGAACTAATGATAAATGACCAGCTTATTCATTATATTACGCCAAGCCTTCAGTGTATTGTCGGGCGAAGGGACAGACCATTCGACATGTTTATCATTGTGACCTTGTCCATTGAAGGGACAGCAGCAGAGAGGAGGGATATCAAAACTGGCGGCGCAGCCCTTCAGTGGCATGTTCTCTCTCCCTTTGACCGACAAGGGCAAAACTGGCGGCGCAGCCCTTCAGTGGCATGTTCTCTCTCCCTATGACCGACAAGAGCAAAACTGGCGGCGCAGCCCTCCGCCATCGTCTGTATTCGGCCGTCATTCCGATAACTTAGATGACGTCGGCCGGATTTTCGTAAGGCAGCATCTTGCCGAAACCTCATCATATACGAGTGGCGATTGGGAAAAGCTGGGGATACTCGGTGTTGACGCCACCCACCCTCTCGCTTTCGGTGGACAAGTCGGAGTTCGACACCGACGGGTTGATAATCCTGTTGGAGGGCTGGCCCCTGGTCGAAGGTCGGGTCAGAATGCCTCCCTCTTCACCCTCTCTCAAAGGTTTTCCCCTGGCATAGTTGAACGGTCTCTCTCTCTCTCACACACCCTTTCTCTCTCACACACTCTCTTTCTCTCTCTCTTTCTTTCTCTATCTCTCTCTCTCCCACACACACCCTTTCTCACACTCTCTTTCTCTCACACACACACCTTTTCTCTCTCTCTCTTACTCTCTATCTCTCTCTCTCTCTTTCTCCCTCTCTCTATCTCTCTCACAAACCCTTTCTCTCTCTTACTCTCTATCTCTCTCACAAACCCTTTCTCTCTCTTACTCTCTATCTCTCTCTCACAAACCCTCTCTCTGTCTTACTCTCTATCTCTCTCTCACAAACCCTCTCTCTCTCTTACTCTCTATTTCTCTCTCACAAACCCTTTCTCTCTCTTACTCTCTATCTCTCTCTCACAAACCCTTTCTCTCTCTTACTCTCTATCTCTCTCTCACAAACCCTTTCTCTCTCGTACTCTCTATTTCTCTCTCACAAACCCTTTCTCTCTCTTACTCTCTATCTCTCTCTCACAAACCCTTTCTCTCTCTTACTCTCTATCTCTCTCTCACAAACCCTTTCTCTCTCTTACTCTCTATCTCTCTCTCACAAACCCTTTCTCTCTCTTACTCTCTATCTCTCTCTCACAAACCCTTTCTCTCTCTTTCTCTCTATCTCTCTCTCACAAACCCTTTCTCTCTCTTACTCTCTATCTCTCTCTCACACACCCTTTCTCTCTCTTACTCTCTATCTCTCTCTCACAAACCCTTTCTCTCTCTTACTCTCTATCTCTCTCTCACAAACCCTTTCTCTCTCTCTCTCTTTCTCTCTCTCACAAACCCTTTCTCTCTCTTACTCTCTATCTCTCTCTCTTTCTCTCTCTCACAAACCCTCTCTCTCTCACTCTCTCTCTCTCTATATATATATATATCTACCTATCTATCTACCTATCTCTATCTTACTCATTCTTACTCACACCGAGAGTTACACTCACTTTCACTTACTCTGCATATCTCTATCTCTTGCATTATTCTCCTCCCGCATAGGAGTCGACCATCGTACAATAATGACATATGCTTAGGTGCAGTGCCTTCCCCCCCCCCTCTCTCTCTCCTTCTCTCATGTGAGCAAATGTCCTCGAAGGGAAGAAGGTCATGTCCTTTCATACTCGTTGTACAGGGAAGAGAACTTCGTTGAAGTCCTCCATTGCAGCCAGCGCCACAAACCAAGGCCATTGGGTATACACATAAACCTGGAGACGACGAACATGAGGACCCCATGATTGGGGTGTTGGCTAGAAGCAGGTTCTGAAGAAAGGATCTCTCCCTCTACAGAGGAGTTAGAGTATATACAGATAGACCACCGGCCAAAGAGCCGAGAGAACAGGAAGGAAGAGGAGAAAAAATGGCGGAATGGAAAGAGTCGACAGTCCATCCATAGAAGGGAGGGGCTGGCTTCAGAACTGGAGCAGGGCGTTCTTGACGTCGTAACCCATCTTCTCGAGGTTGGGTACCACGGCGAACTGCAGCATTGGTGGCGGGCCGCAGGCCAGCGCCAGCACGTCTTCCGCCGCCGCCGGCACCCGCTGCCGGAGGATCTCCTCGGTGACGAACCCGACGCTGTAGGTCCAGCCGGGATCCTTAGCCTCGTTCACCACGTACCACACCTTCAGCTGCTCGCTCCGCTCCTTCGCCCAGCCGTCCAGCTCCTCTCGCAGTAGGATATCGTCCTCGCTCCGGTTGGCGTACACCAGATGCATCTCCGTCTGGTCCTCCGGGTCCCTGAGCACCGCCTGCATCACCTGGTAGATGGGCGTGATGCCCGTGCCGCCGGCGACCATGGCGAGCTTCCTCGCGCGCTTCCACTCGCCGTTGACGGAGAAGTTGCCCGCGCCGGTGTACTCGATGTGGCCGAGGGGGCCCTTCACGTCGACGGCGCCGCCGAGGGGGAGGGAATCGAGGTGCTGCGACATGAGCCCCCCCCTGGGGAACTTGGGGTGGACGTCCTTGAAGTATACCTTCACGACCAGCTCGAAATGGCCGATCTCACCGTCGGTGCTCGTAGGGGTGTACGCTCGCATGCAGGCCTTGCCGTCGACGAGGGCGGAGAGGAAGATGTGCTTGCCGACGGGGAGGCCCAGCACCTGGTCCGCCGCCGGCAGGGCGAAGCGGAAGCGGCGGACGTCGTGGGAAATCGAGGTCTTGGAGACAAGCCTGCACTGAATCTTCTCCCGGGGGACAAGAGCGACGGCCCTACGCGGCGGCGGCGCCGCCTCCGCGATGGAGGAGAGGAGGGCGAGGTTGTTGGCGCCGTGGTTGGAGGTGTCGGAGAGGTATCCCGTGGTTATGAGCTCGCCGACGCGGTAGGTCTCCAACATGGACTTGGCCTTCTCGGAGTGGATGGCGTCGAAGTCCTCGGTGCAGTCGGTGCCGGCGTTGATGAGGATGCTGTCGGCGCCGCCGGGGTGGTCCTTGAGGAAGCTCGTGCAGTCGTAGACGTGCCCGTGGACGACGATCCACGCCGAGTCCCTCGTGCTGTGCCGGCGCACCTCCGACATGGAGTAGTGTTTGGTGGTGGTGTTCATGAAGGGGCTGGAGATGCTCTTTTTCATGGACTGCCCCTCGGTGACCTCAAGGTGCTTCTCCCGTGCCATCCACCCTCCCGTCTGGTTCCCCGGCTTCGTCGGGTGCTCGAACACAAGCCCTATTTCTCCCCTATTCGGCCGGCACACGTTCACCTTCACCCGGAACCAGCAGTTGTTCATCATTCCCTGCCACAGCGATAGACAATCAACCAGTTAGTTTCATGGCAGCAACGCCGGAGGAGGAGGAGGCGATAGGGCACTCACGAGGACATTCCAGATGAGCTTCTCCGGCTGGGTGTTGAGGGCCTGGTCCCAGGCTCGGACGGCGATCTCCTTCGCGCCGAGCAGGTCGAGGACCTCGAGATCGACGGACCAGAAGCACCAGCACCAATACTTGCCGTACTTGTTGGGCCACTCAGGCTGGTCGAGCTCGCACTGCAACCATGTCTCACCGCCGTCCAGCGTGACCTCAACCCGCGTCACCTTCTTTCCCCCTCCTACTCGAGCAAGAGGAAGACGGACGGAAATTAGCGAAAGGCTGCTGGCACAGAAAGGGACCGCTCCTTCGTCCCCATCCCAGCGCCGACCTCCCTTCTACATGGTGACGAGGACTACACGTCGATCCCCTGGCAAGTGCCCGGGAACGACAAGGCCTGGCATAATGCTAATGGGACATCCTTCTGAAGAACCTCCAACTTGCACGCCCGGAGGAGCTCTAAAAGGGAACCCGACTTGAAAGAGAGAGAGAGAGAGAGAGAGAGAGAGAGGCTCACCGGCGTAGGCGTATCCCCTCATGGTGTAAGACCTCTGGGAGGTGACGGAGTTGATGGGGAGGATCTCGTCGTGGGCGGGGGTGGTGATGACGGAGTTGATGTTGAGCTCATTAATCATGTACTCTTGTCTGTACCACCAACCTGTTGCGATGGCAGGAGCAGGAGACGTTATGGTCGAGCAGAGCAGATTTCATGGCGTAGAGAGAAAACAGGGCCGGCGTCGATGGCCTTACCGTCGGCCTTGGCGAGTTCGGCGTCCACAAAGGAAGGAAGGACCTTGTTGTCGTGGTAATGGTAGTAGCTGTCGCACTCCGCCGTAGTGATCAGGATCCTCCTCAGCCATTTCACCATCCGCCCGCCGATGTACCCAGGAATGATCATCCTCACCGGGAAGCCGTGGTCCGGAGAGAGGAACTCGCCGTTGTGCATGTAGGCGAGGATGATGTCATTGGCAGGGTCCAGGGCCACCTCGAGAGGGAGGCTGGTGCCGTACTTGGAGCCGCCGCCGCCTGGGAGGTCCTCGTCGCCTTCGAAGCAGACGTTCATCCTCGGCGGCGCGCCGCCGGTGGCGGCACCGCCGGTGGGGGGCCGCATGACTCCGCAGCGGCGGAGGACGTCGCAGAGGCGAGCGCCGCGCCACACGCCGGTGGACACGCCGGCGGCGCCCCAATTGAACCCGATGCTCTGTTTCACCATGTTCTGCTCCTTGCGCCGGTTGCCGCAGCAGGCGAGCGTGACGGGCAGCTCCCTGGCAGCGAACTCCCCGGCGATCTCGTCCATAGTGAGGCGGCGGGGCCGCCGGACGAGGCCACCCACCTCGACGGACCAGTCCTCCCATTTCCCCCTTGGGACGGCGCCATGGTTGCGCACGTAGTGGAGGGGGATGGGGGTGATGAAGCCATGGTGCATGAGCCGCCTCAGCGGTGGCTCTGAGTTGAAAGGGTGCTTCCCCGTCAGCCGGATCAGGCTGGAGTTGCGCTCCACCCATGCGTCGGCAGTGGCCTCGTCCCTCGCGTCCAGCGCCGACGGCTCAATCTCTCCTGCCCCCGACGAGGCCTTCAATGCCGCGATGTATTCCTCGTAGTCGGGGTCCTCATCGTCGGAGTCCTCGTGGTGGTGGTGGTGGTGATGGTGACGGCGGAAGGAGGTGGCGCCGCCGTTGGAGAAAGAGTCACCGGCGCCGGAGACGAAGGGGGAGGGCAGCTTGCCGCCGCCCTTCTCGAGGTAGCCGAACCGCCGATCATCGACAGAAGTCACCATTAAAGCACACACGCCTCTCGACAGATGGGCGACTAGAGGGGGGCGAGTCTTCGTCGGCAAGGTGTCTAGGAAAGTTGCAGATTTATAAAGCAGGTGGAACGAGGGCCGGGGGAGAGGGGACGAACCTCGGCCATAAACTAGGCTCTGGGGACGACGTGTTCATCTCCCCGCCTGTGCCGCCGTCGCGGGCGGGCCCGCCGGCACGTCTTCCCTCGGATTTCCAACAAGAAAAGCTCCCAGCGGTAGGGAAAGGCGAGGGGTCACCCCACCCCGCCGCTGCCCCTCTCAAGTTGCAGGGGGTGGGCTGGGGATGACGACGAATGACGGAAATTCCTGCTGCCCATTTGACCTTTCCCCTACCCACCGCCGTGTTCGACGGCGGCAGCCTTGGGTTTTCCGGTCATGCGGCGGGGCATGGCTGGCCTGGGCGGCCGCGCCCCGCCCCTCCGTTAGGCCAAGGGGCGCCTCGACGGGAGCTTTCTTTGGGGAAGCGGCGAGCGGAGCTCGCGGCTTCTGTAGGGGTAGTCTCGTACCAGGAGAGCGCGTTGGGGGAGGGCGGCTCTAGGGATTGACGGAGGGACAAGAGGCGGCCGTCTGGGCTCGTCCCCACCCCTTGGCGCACCCGCCGGCCTCGCCCCACAGTTCTCTCGCGCGCCGCGGTTTCGGGCATCGGGTCCTAGTTTGGCTCCTGCCCATCTAGAGAGAGAGATTGACGTCATGACAGACAGAAGATCTTCTGGGGCAAAGCTGGGAATCTCCAAGAGGATGCCGCAGATCATTCTCTCCACCAAAGCAAGCATATCATCCACACAATTTATTCCTAGAACTATGGGACCATAAGTGGACAAAAGCTTTGCGAAGCTTGATCTAGTCAAGTCGTCGAAATGAGCGTTGACTTGGACGTAAGCGTTGAATAATACATTCCTGCATGAAAAATGACGCGGCATGCACTGGCCTAAAACCTTTGTTCCGAGGGCATAAGGGTCTCGTCAGCGCGGCAACATTTCTTGTCTTCGGATATTTTAAGAATAAGTTGACATTATTTTCTGTGTTCTTCATTAAATGCCCCATACGTCACGTGTAACTACTATTCTGGGAACAAGAAGTTGTTCATTGCATTTTTTTTGGTATTTTAATGATTGGTCAACCATTTGAACAAAGATGCATGTAGCATGTAACGTGGTGCTCTCAAAGCCCCCCAACCATAGTGATTCCCAGATGTAAGACACCTTAGCGAGCCTTGTTCATCGCCAAATTCTAACTAATTATCATTAATTAATCCCATGTTGAGAGATTACTCGATAAATTCCATGAACTAGCTCATTAGAACGTCTTATTGAATGGGAGTGGTGATTGTTCAATTCTTTGAACAAAGATGCGTCTAACGTGGTTCTCACTTTCCCATAATAATTCATTATTAATTAATTCCATATTGAGAGATTACTTGATAAATTCTAGGAACTAGCTCACTGAAACGTCTTATGAATGAGAGTGCTGATGTGGCAATATGGGACGTATCTAGAGTAGGAAAAATTATAATACACAAAAAAAGTAAATTATTTTTCGTATTTCATCTTTTTTTTTGCTTTTGGCCAAAAAAAGGAGACAAGTTTGTTTAAGCTAAAAGGGTAAATTTCGTGAGGGGGTGAGTTCAAAGGAGACAAGTGGTGTGGGAGCTGGCCCTAAGGAGAACACGTTGCTGGTCGACGGACCCTGGATAGAGAGCTCAGCTACTGTCGCGGGGGCGTTGACAGATGGGAACAGGTGTGGAGAGAGAGAGAGAGAGAGAGAGAGAGGGAGAGAGAGAGAGAGGGAGAGAGAGGGAGGGAGAGAGGGAGGGAGAGAGAGAGAGAGGGAGAGAGAGGGAGGGAGAGAGGGAGGGAGAGGGGGAGAGAGAGAGAGAGGGAGGGAGGGAGGGGGGGGAGAGAGAGAGAGAGAAGAAGGTCATATATCGGCCATTGGAGAAACTTAGCTACTTAAACGGCCGTCCACTAGTTCCGAGTCTCTCCGGCCACTTCGGGCTACAGTTTCTTTTTAAGCTTCCAGGTCCACTTGATGGAAAAATATAATTTAGCTCATTCAGGTGTCATATTTGCCGACAGGCCCTCATATTTTCAAGAATATGACAGACAAATAAAGCCCTGAAATCACTATGAAAGAGGTACGGGTCCATTTAAGAAAGTTTCCTCCTTTTTACTGACATATGACTAAATATGTTCCTCCATTTAAGAAAGCTTCGATGCCGTATTTTTTGTCAAAATGGTATTTCTGGGAAAAAGTTATTCTTTGTATTTGCGAATTTGCCCTGCGTTCTTGAGGATGCGCCAGGTGGCGAATGGTGTCGGTTTTCCATGCATGCTGCAGCAGAGGACCTGGGGATAAAGATGGAAACGAAGGGAGAGCCACCGGGTCTCCGAACGAGAGGCGAAGTGGTTGTCACCGTGTACGAGGAGCTGCCGCCGTTTCGCCGGCGTCCACCGGAGCGGGGCTGCAGCCGGAGTCGGGTCCCGAAGCCTGCGCCGCCGCGCGGCGGCGACCGAAGAGCGGCGCTCCTCGCTTACTCCCAGCAGCTGCGGAAGACGAACGGAGAACAAGATCAGATGGCCCAGGAGAAAGGAAATTGGAGAACACAGGTGATCTTGCCAATTTAAAAGCTTTTAATGGCCTCATTCCTTGAGGATTTCCCATTTGCCAACAGCAGATATGGGGAACGTGGGGGTCGACGTCCCGATGGAGGCTGCCGTCGTGGATCAGGAGACTCCTCGGCCAACATCGGCGGTGGGGAGACGGGCGGTACCCGCCGGAGGAAGACGAAGAGGAGGAAGAATTACTCCCACAAAGACGACCGTCTTACTGCTGCAGGGTGAGTTTGCTGTTCCTCGCTCCGTCTAGGCCAGGCCATTGCTGCTCAACGCAGCGCCTGGGCTTCCTCTATCAAGTCTCATTCCCCGCCACCCCATTGGCAGATTCCTGCCTCCTCTTTTGGGGGATGCCGGAGGAGATTGAAAACACTGTTGGACCGGTTCCCTCGCGTCTGGAGAATTTGTGGGAACCTGAAATGCTGGAGGAAGAACCACCATGGAGATATCTGTCAACGGAGAGCAAGAATTAAAACCGATACGATTAAAGAACCCCAATGATCGGTGGCACGGGAATCACAGGGAGCATCCGGAGATGAGAGTTTGCTTTCTGTCCTTTCTCGCCCACTTATGTATTTTTTCTAGATCCAAGTTCTGCTGGCTACCTTCTTCTGAGTTTCTGCCGGCCGAATCTGGAAAAAACTGAACCTTTAATCATGGTTGGGTTGTGACAGGCGTTCTGTTTCTCCCCTACAATGAAAACATGCGATGAATAGCGGAGGTCTGCTTGTAGGGGGTTATGTGGGGGGGGGGGAGGTGTTAGAGGGAGGGCCCTGGACCTCTTTATGCACTGGGCAGGGTTCGACTAGTCCTAATTTTATTTCTTGGCTTGTTTGGAAGGATCATAAATGTAAAAACCGGGCATTTGACCCTCCTCTATACGGATAGACCTGCCTATTAAAACCCGGCTTGATTTGCTGGCCTCGGGGCCCATTCGACCCTTTTACTTCCATAGCCAGGACATGAACTCGGAGAACCTGCCTATTAAAGGCAAATTTTCAGAAAGCCTGGGGCTTTATATGCTTCCAATGGGATAAATTTGGAAATAGAGGCAGACATTAGATAAGTGATGAAGCTTGGAGCGTTTAATCATAAATCAAAGAAAATGAACCACAATTTTTCATAAGAAAAAAATATAATATTCAGCAAACACAAAGAATAATCATCATTTGAAAGAAATCATTTTACCAATAATCAACTACTAAATTTAATGCAACAAAAATATTGCCATAACAAGAAGCAACAATATAAAGTGGTGTGTTGGAATTCTAGTTTTAATGATGAGATAGTGTATTATTTACTAATGGCATAATATAATAATATAACCTATCCCATCATCGTGTCTATGTTGGTCCCTAGATTTCTAGCAGGGCGAACAAAGAAAGGAGCGGGTGCATTGATTCTTAATATATATATATATACATAATAATTATTTGTTTATTTTATAATTATTTTGTTTAATTTAATTTGGATATTAAGAGAGAAGACACTCGAGGAGACATAACTTGATATTTAAGAGGAGAATGCACAAGAGAAGAGCTCGTGGGAGGGGCATCGGCAGTGGGATGAGAACGAGATCTTACTTGGAGGGGCTTGATCGGGGGCTTTGAGAGGATATCTGAAGATGAGACGGAACATTATAAAGCGGAAGATAGGTAGTGAGAAGACATTTGTGACATAATCTTATCGTGATTCACTCAAACCCCTTTCACCTACGTCTATTTCTTATATTACAATCTTGGTTCCACTATTCTAGTCCCTATAATATACCCAATTTTCTCAGCAACCATTCATATAGTCAGGACCTCGTGAGTCTATGTTAACTCACTCCACTAGAGCCCTAAGTTCTAATTGTTTTATGTCAACCCTATTGTAAGCACATCACTTGTGCCTCAACGTGCAAAAATCTTACAACTAACATAGAAACAAGAACAAGAAACAATGCAGATGGTTTTTACCAACACCTTCCATAGATGTTTGAGAAGTTTTCCTCCAATGAAAGGGTAAGTTCATGTAAGTTAGAGAGAGGAGAGCTGCTTGATTGTTCTCTTGAAGTGAGAAGCTTTGTATCGTTGATTTGAGTTGAAACTTTGCGTATAAAATAAGAAGAGGTGGAGGGAAGGGAGCATGATGAGTGATGTCCACTTTTGATTTTTTTTATTTGATTTCTTACTCTAATTTTTATTTTATTTCATTATGTTTTTATTTTATTATCTTTCAAATATGTGCTATGTAGAATATAGTTGAGACAAATAACCTTACTGAAATACTAGTATACATGTTTTTTTGTGCTACAGAAGGAATTAGCTCACCTTGAAAATGTGGATAACAAGAACCCAAGATCCTTAGTCCCACACAAAATGACCAATTTAGCCGTTGTATCCTACTTGGATTTGATAATTCGTACCAATGCTTGCCTATTTAAATTAGGACTCACAATCCATTAAGAGTAGATTTAAATAGCTAACATTTTAATTATCATTTTCATAAATGTCGTTCAACCCAATTACCTTGGTTCTTTTAAATATATTGAAGGTGAATATGAAATTTTTATTTAAATGAATATTTTAGTTTATGGAAGGTTACTATCTAAGTGAAAAGATCAATTCACCCTCCACTAGATTTTACCTTTTAGTATTGAATGTTGGCTTTCTAAAAGTAGTAAATGGATCTTCCAATAAGTAAGTATCTTTCAATTGGAAGCTTATTTAAACAAAGGTAAATGAAAGGAAAAAAAATCTTCTTATATTAATGCTAAGTGATAATATTATATTTATACTACATAATTTAGATCATATGCATACATTTTAGTTACATGTAGTAAGCATAATGTCTTGACTTTAAAATAGGAAAGAATTATTATGATTTGATTATTTTGCATATACTTGGCATGAATTATTTTGTTATAACAACGATTTTTCACATTAATTTTTGGTTGAAATTTTATTTTAGACCAAAATTTGAGCAAAATCTAAGAATTTTCTAAGATTTATTTGGATGATATTCAGAGTTTTTAAGGAATAGATATAATGCTTTTATTAATTGTGGACTTATATTTAATTTTTACTAATGATAGGGGTTTAAAATAATCCAAGATATATATTTTATCTCACGTGAGAACGAGTGGTAGAGAGATTTAAGTGACTCACATGAGCTTGATTTAAGCACATGTCTACATGACCTATTATACCTTATATAAATGTAGGAAAATAAGGAGGACATCATGAATTAGTCAAAACACTCACTAAAGGAAGGGGAGGCTAACTGGATTTTAAGGACCTACAATACATTTCAACCATTCATGATGCTGCGAAGAGAGGGCTTGAAGAAAGGGGCTAGAAACCATCAGAATAATCATCAATATAAACACTCTCATGGAGAGTCTTCTCTCAAATCTTTTTCCACAAACGAGACTCCAACAAGAGGAGTAATCATCATTGAAGAATCTTCATGGTGTGAACACTTTTGTGATATGCTTTTGCGAAAAGTTTTCGATCTTTTCCAAAAGGTGTGTAATTTCCTATTCTCTTCACTCTAAAGATGTACGTTTGGAGTCCATTTTGTACTCTCTCCACCCCATGAAGTCGTTTGGATTTCTCCCAGTCTTCTCCTCATCACCCAACAAAGCACCGTTGGAATATTATTCTTCATGGGTTACGACACATCTTGATAAGCACCATAGTGTAACGTAAAGCTTACTCAAGCTTGTGGCGGGTGACAGCTGCCGTAGCAACTATAAAACATGTTCCTTGGAGGGTGTGCTTTCTACTCAACACTCATGGATGAATGTGTGGTCCACAAGCAGAAACAGCATGGACTTGAGTTTAAGGGCTCCCTCAACCCTTATCTCTAATTTATTTTCATATTTAGTTACATAAATCATCTCAATTCACTTATTAATCTTTGATTTTTAAGTCTTGAACTTGAAATCTTAAAATCAATGATCATTCATTGAAAGAGTTAACTTTTATTTTCTTTTTCAATGTCAATTCTCTCCATATTTTTATTGTGAAGATGCCTTCCTCACAATCTATAAGTGTGACTTCAATATTTCTCTCCAATCATCTCATCTTGTTATTTGTCTTCATCAAAAACATCTTTCCAACAACTAAATCAAGTTTCCAATCATCCCTATGATCGATCCAGATACTTAGGATATGAGTACAATGGATAAAAGAAAAGTAAAGATTTTTGAAGGAAGAAAGGGCATGGATGAGGAGTAAGAGAAGAAAACGTAATAAGTCAAATCATGATTCATCAAGTGAATGCTACCACCATCTATTTCATCTCTAGGAACATTACATCTCAACTAGTGATGATAGTGTCTATGGGAATCATTGGTTTATTTCTTTCAAGCATGACTTGTAACATCAAAATATTAATTCTGAAAAATTAGTAAAAAATATATAAAAAGATAGCAGCAAATTTTGTGTTAGTCCACACTAATATCTCTAGAAGCCTCATTATATAAGACAAAAGTCCATCAGGGTCAACCTAAATTTTAGTAAAATTAATTATGCTCATGAAAATATGAATATTGGGGCAGGAATTCATTCCCAGTCTTTATCTATGGAATAATCTTATAAAATCCATACATTTATTTCGGAAAAATAAAAAAATGGAATCGTCAGACCAGGGAGAACCTCTACATGTGCATGAAAAGCTGGGTCAGGTTGGGAGTGGAAGGGGCCCGTTTTCATGGCCCCGCGTGGGACCCAAATGGGGGTTTGGGACCCACTCCCCCGCAGGGTTCTGGTTCCAGTTGGGTTGGAGGGAAGCGGGATGGCCTGCATACATGTGGCTCAAAAATCTTGCGCGCCAGAGGGGAGGAGAGAGAGAGAGAGGGAGAAAGAGAGGGAGAAGATCAGGTTGCGCGCGGAGAGGAAGGATAGCGCGCGAAGCCGGCACCTTGGCTTCTCTTCTCGGAGGAGACTTCGCCTCTCCTCCTGCCTGTTGGCGGGCTTTAGCAGGCAGTAGGGAGGAATGGCGGGGGCAGTTGTCTTCAGGTTTGGTGGCAATCATAGGGGCTTGTTCGGGCCCGCCCGCCGTCGGCACAGGCGTGCGGTTGCTCCTGCTTCCCATCCTGAGTCCACAAATGGTAGTTTCTTCGGTGTCAATTCATCTACCGCCGTCTTCCCGAGGTTCACCAATTGCTCTCGTCGTAGTTCCTTAGCCAGAGGAAGAGGCCAGTTTAGTGTGCTCTGCAGGGCCGCGGGGGCGCAACCGAAGGGCATGTCCGACGATGCTAAGGTCTCTATAGGTGTTGGACAAGACCGTTTGAAGAAGGTACACTTTTCTTTACTGCCACTGAAGGACGTGCCCTCCGGCATATTTCTTTCCATCCCTTAGTTCCGTTGAAATGGAAATTTCTTTTTTATCTACTGTTGAACGCTTAGACCGATTTGTATGGGTAGACATAGTTTATCGGCATATATTCGTCATCAGCTCATGAGAAATTGCAAAAGAAAGACAGCCAGAAGGAGAGATGAAAAGTGTAGAATGACTATCGATACGCATCTGATAAAGAAATCGTTGTCGAGGATTGGCTCACGCTACAGTGAGCTTGCTATTATGTCATTTGAGAAAAATTGGTGACCAAGGGAAAGCAAAGAACGATATGTTTTTTGTGGGAAAAATCCTTGTTTTTAGTAAAGGCCTTTCTCGATGGATGGCTCTGAGCATCTTCTTAATCTCTTCCCGAATAGTTATATGCATTTTCGTCTGCGTCCTAAAGGAGCAATCAGGCTTTGTCATTGCTGTTTTTGTTTGCAGAAAGCATCAGAGTTTCACTGAGAACTTATTGTCTTGCTTTTGTTTAAGAATCCATCCAGTAAAAAATCTTAACTTAATTGTTCCGCCTTTTGAGTTTTATTTTCTTTTTTTAACTTAAATATATTTTTTAACTGGTAAACTATTGTCTCGTGATTTATTTCGACCACATTCCTAAATAATCATGTTGTACACTGTGTACTATTTTTTTCTTTGATTTTTGCCTGCGATCTAGTTTAAATGGTATAGTAAAGCTGAAAGTGCTACAGAATCTCCTAGTTCACAAGCCTACTGGTCTTGTGAACATCACCCTTGTGTCTGAACCTTAAAATGAAGTCGGTTTAGCATTTTCACTGCTTAGGATCATGTCCCAGTCATAGATGTAAACATTGATTCGTTTCTAATTTATTTGTTATCACATCTTCTGGTTTCTTTAATTAATTTATGAATTGCATTGGGGGTTGGAAGCTGTTTGGATCTGTTTTCTCTAACAATGATAATTAAGTAAACCCTACGGTGGCATACATGCCCATACTCCTTGAGCGGAACATCTTTCCAGTATGCAGCTTATTAATAGGTATTCGAGTATAGACAAAAAAAATCAGCTCATAACCTGTTAATCATATCTGATGCATTTCCAGGATTTCAATGAATATCAGATGGTAATCACAAGTGGTAATTTATAGGGAAAACACGGCAGATTTGTGAAATGTATATGAATAAATGCGAATAGATTCATTTCAAAATACTGGACCACTTCTGGATTCTGTCCTACAATTCAATTGTCTAAAATGTTGTGATAGTTAGAAATGGCAATTATGAACTCAGAGAAAAGCAGGTTGTGCCAGATTATAATGAAGTTAGATATTTATGCATCGTATAACTAAACCCTAAAAGTAAATATCTAATTCAACATGGATGTACCACATATGGAGGGAAAAGTTTGTTGGCAAAACTGTTCTCCAGCATAAAAATGATAACTTAAAGAAAACTTATAGCTGATAAAATCAATCAATAATAGCTTTTTTCTTCCACCTCGACATGTTTTTTCCAAGTCATATTCAGTTAGCCATTTTCTTCAATCCAGTTCGAATGGTTTACTCATTCCAGTGAACTCCAAGTCTTCCCCTTTTTGGGATCATGAGGGATCTATTCTATGGTTAGAGATGGGGATATAGCTTCTTTAAATGCACGTAAAGATTCAAGCTTTAGAAAATAAGGAATCTGACCAATTTGATGGGTCAGGACAAGCATGGGGGAAGACAGAAGCTCAGAAAAGGCACGTTGGTCCCATAAGTGGCGAGGGTAGGTTATGGTGCTAACAAACAATGACATTTTGATGCCTCATGTTGAGAGAGGATGTGGGTGTATGAGACAGAGGAGATAAGCTGACAGCAGGGACAAATATATGTGCAAAAGGGAAAAAACCATCATGATAACACAAGATGGCAGCATGAATATCGTATCATTGGTATGTAGAACGTTTCTCTTGTCTGCTACCTTTCCTAGATATGATGGCTTCTTTCTTTTGATTAAAGGTCCATTACTGACCGTGCAAGATAGCAGATTGACACTTCAGCCAGGATATCTTAAACAAGAAGATGTGTTCTTACTGAAGATTCTGAGCATGATAATGTCTTGAAAGTTGTCATGAGAATGAATAATATGCCAGAAGATAGTCAACGTGTGAAATGGGGGTGTCAGTGGTTGGTACAGAGAACGAGATATTCGAAATTTCTCATCTGATGTCTAGGGGTGGAGGTGGCTGTAACTAGTGTGTATGCCAGAGAGCTTCCCAGATCGTATCTATGTTTTAGTCTTACGAGGATAATATGCAGGTCAATTTAAATGGGTACTGTCCTTCGGTTTTTTTATAAGTCTTTATATGGCAATATAACATGGCATATGGATCAGAGAAACTTCGTACACTACTACAGTACGAGGAAAGCTGCAAAATTTCATGGTTGTTAATTGAAATTGGGTTATGTCAATACTTGGTTTTTAATAAGATTAGATTGGTTGTGATTTCTGTAGTTAATGAACCTGAATTTCCTTTATGTTTCAATTTTGTTTTTGGTTGTGACGAACTAAAGCTCATGATATTATTTTCATGTTTGATCTGTAATGCTCAACTTCCAAGTGGCTGCGATACTATACATGTTCAGAGAAAATCTTGATCTTACTGTGCATTTGTTTCCAAGAAATTGGTAGACTTAGCATGCTTTTTCTTTGTCTCACATTTTGACTACGTGCTTTATGCTTCTAAGCAGGTTCCAATATCCCACATAAGAAACTTCTGCATTATTGCCCATATTGACCATGGGAAATCAACCTTGGCAGATAAATTGTTGCAGTTGACTGGAACAGTACAAATGAGGGATATGAAAGAACAATTTCTTGATAATATGGACTTGGAGAGGGAGAGAGGAATAACTATTAAATTACAGGTATGAAAGGTTGATTCTTGTCTTTCATTTGAAAAGTTGGTTTCATTGTTATTCACCATTCTTTAAATATTTTTTCCCCATCATTTGAATGGAAAGACATGTTTGTGGATAATAGCTTGGGATTTTCTTCTGATCTTCTTGTGTATAAATATTGTCTAGCTTGAATATTGTGCTCTGACTTGACTGAGAAACGAGTTCGCTCCTGTTTGGCATGCTAAAATTGGGATATTGAGTACAAAAACGTGTAATTTTTAAGTGCTGCTGATGACGTTGTTTTTCATGAGAATGGTATGGAAGGGCCTTTTGGCTACAAGCGTCATGAAAAATTTTGCAAGGGCTGACGGAAATAACTTGATGTCTCATCCATGATGTCTATGCAACACTGCAGATTTAATGTTTTTCCGTGACTTGTAAAGATGACAGATACAAACCCTTTAGGTGATTTTCTCAATCTGCTGAACACATAATACGATTATGGTTTTAGTATTTGTTGTTTCACCGAATGTGTAATTATTTTTTAGGGTACAATTATGTCATGTTTTTCACAAGCTAAGGTTTTAAGGAATGCCTTCAAATGATCAATATTTTGGATTGTGGAACCATATTGTGTTAATATGTCAGGAAGGATGCTAATCTTTCTGTAGTTGATAACATGGTTTCTTTTCATTTTTGAGCACATGCAGACTTATTCTACAAGCGAGTGGTGAGTATTCTGTACTCTAGAGAGACAACTTTTGAGATGTGACGACTTGTAGAATGAGTTCATTATGAAGAGGCTGCTGCCAAAGCTTAATTAACATTTTTCATTTTTCTTTTTTCCTTGTAAGACCCTTCGTTTATTTGCTGTCGATGATGCTTTATCCTTGTAGTTGATTTGGTTTAAGTGGATCTTTATCTGTGTTATGTAGAGTCTTCTAACCTCTTTATTTGACGTTGTGTTTTCTGATTCTCACATTTGATTTGACTATTCTTCTTTGATATAATCATTACTACAAATATGACATGGATGCATCAAAAAATTGATTGTTAGTAATGCAAAAATCCCCAAATCTAGGCAAAAATCAGTATATTTGTCACACAATCTGCTTTACTCACTGTCAAGAGTGGAAGTTTCAACATCTGCTAACTCACTGCCTTGATCCTGGTATGGATCACTTTATGAGGTGAAAATGATCTCAGAGGTGGGGCAGATTTCATGCCCAAAAGTCATCTATGTGCATTTATTGTAGCAAATATGTGACAAAACCTTTGTGTTTTGTTTTTATAAATGCATTGTTTGCCTTAATATTGTTTCTAGTTTCTTTATAATTAAAGGGTTTGTCATCTGGTAGCATCTCAAGTTACAATTTTGGAACTTTTCCAGGCTGCTCGAATGCGTTTTGTTGTAGATAATGAGCCATATTGCCTGAATCTGATTGATACTCCAGGTCATGTTGACTTCTCGTATGAGGCAAGTAATTTTGCTTCCGTCATTTAACCTTGGTAACTGATTTCTTCTTCTTCATTTTATGTAATGATTTTATAATACTTTTGATGATGACACCCTATGTGTTTTCTCTATACTTGCAAACATAACTTTTGGTGTTATCATTCGAAAGTTGGGTTCGACATGGTGCATGTCAAATCTTTGACTCCAGCGTTAGGGTTCCAACACCGCCGCCAAGAGCAACAGAAATATGCGCAGGAAAAAGACAATTTCATTTCTAGTCATGCTATACTTAAGTACAGACGTTAACGGTTCCAACAAGACCCAATGAATCCGTATCGAATCTCATAGGGACATAATAGAAATAAAGGAAAGTAAGACACTCAAAAATAGAATAGGACGACATCTAGTGAATGTTGACACTCCCCCTTAAGTTGGTATATGGGGTCATCCGTGCCCAACTTGCATGTAATTCTCTGCAATGACATCCATGTTAATCCTTTTGTGAAGATATCTGCTACTTGTTATGTTGATCTCACATGAGATATAGAGATGATTTTCTCCCCAATTGTTTCTTTAATAAAATGTCAATCAACCTCAATGTGTTTTGTCTGATCATGTTGCACATGATTATGTGCAATGTCAATGGCTGATTTGTTGTCACAATATAGTTCAATTGTTGTTGAAAAATCAACTTTTAACTCTTCCAATAGGCTTTTAATTCATGTAATTAACTTTCCTCCAATAAAGGAACAGTAGCTTGTGGTAGATCTTTGATCCGTGATAGAGCCCGCATAGTCAGCATTTGTATAAACTTTAACTAGTTTATCACCTCCAGATTTGTATAAAAGACCCAAGCTATATGTGGCTTGAATATGAATGTCGTTAGGATCATGCATAAATTGACTCAATAGTCCCACAGCGAATTTAAATATACCAACTTTTCAATTAAATGCAGATACCATCCTCTGTCCATTGAAGGACTGTCTTTACCTAGTCCGAGTTTCACATTAGCTTCTAGAGGAGTGTCGACTGGCTTAAAATTCACTTTGCTTTTCTCTTGAAGTAAATCAAAAATATACTTTTGTTGTGATATTAAATCCTTTGACGTGAATGAACCACTTCAATGCCCAGAAAATACTTTAACTTACCCAAACTTTTGACGTCAAATCTTTGAGATAAATTTGTGCTAAGTGCTTTGATTTCTTCTGAATCATTGCCTGTAATTATAATATCATCTGTGTATACAAGGAGTACAGTAACTCCCCGTCTTTGAGTGCTTGATAAACATTGTATGGTCTCCATTGCTTTGTAGATATTCTATTCCTTCATGGCTTGAGTGAATTTAACATACCATGCTCTAGGGGACTGTTGAAGTCCATATAATGTCTTTTTTAACCGACATATTGTTTGTGGTGTGTGTATGACTCTCTAAATCCGAGTGGAGGCTCCATATAAATCACTTCTTCTAAGTCACCATGTAAAAATGCATTATTTACATCATATATATGTAAAGGCCAATGAAAGTGAGCTGCAAGTGAGATAAATTTTTTTACTGTATTTAGCTTTGCTAGTGGAGCAAACATTTTTGAATAATCGACTCCATATGATTGGGTGAAACCTTTAGCAACTAATCTTATTTTATAGCGTTCAATTGATCCATCTACTCTATGCTTCACCGTGTACATCCACTTACAACCCACACTTTTCTTTCCTGGAGGAAGATTAACTAACTCTCATGTTTCATTCTTGTATAATGCTTCCATCTCAAGTGGCATAGCTTCTCTCCATCTCTTATCAGCTATAGCTTCACTATGTGAGGAATACAATTAGATTTAAGATTAGTCAAAAAAGTTCTATACGACTGTAAGAAATGAGTATAGTTGAAATAATTTGTCATCAGATACTTTGGATATATCCTACACTTCCTTGCTCCTTCTCGTAATGCAATAGGGTCGTCTTGAGCATCTCTCATAGAATTATGTGGGTCTACCCCTTGATGATGATCCATTGATTCTGAAATAGGGATATCATTAGATGTAGGAAGGTCTGAGATTGGAAAATTATTATCTCTGATTTTTTCCAAATCATTCTTAATCCTCCTACAATATACTTGTATCTCCTTATTGACTAGTTGTATGCTGTTTAATACATCAATATGAGTTTTATTCTCATCAAAACTAACTCCTTCACTTGGCACCATTAGAAGAACTAAATTTGGTTCAAAGGGTGTATCCCTTGATATGATAATTCCGAGCTTCTCATAGAAGATTTCTTGAAAAAACTCTGTCCTTCATCAAAGGTAACATCAGCTGAAACGAATAATTTCCTCGATACTGGATCATAACATTGTGTCCTTTTTGGGTCATAGAATAGCTGATAAAGACAAACTTTATTGCCTTGGGATCTAATTTGCTTGTTGGATGTGAGATATGTACATATGATGTACATCCAAACACTCGTGGAATTAAACCACTTTTCAGTCTCACATTTGGATATTTAGAAGAGAGAACATCAATTGGACTCTGAGCTTTTAAAACCTCTGATGGAAGTCGATTTATTAGATGAACAGCAGTTAATGCTGCTTCTCCCCATAAGTATTTAGGCACCTCTTGATGAAACAGTAATACCCAAGTAGTAGTCAGTATATGTCTAGTCTTCTTTTCTGCCACACCATTTTGTTATGGTGTGTGAACACATGAAGACTCATGAATGACTCCATTTGCACTAAAAAAGGTTGACAATGTATGATTGAAATAATCCTTAGCATTGTCAGAGTGGAAGGGTCCAAATTGACTTTTGACCATAAAAAAATAATTCTGAATCATGTTGAAACATCTGATTTTTATTTCAAAATGTATATCCATGTAGTACGAGTACAGTCATCAACCAAAATAAGAAACCAGCGTGCATCATTCATAGTTGAGATTGGACATGGATCCCACACATCACTATTAATGTAATCAAATAGAACTTAACTGCGAGAAGATGACATGTGAAAAGAGGATCTCTTATGCTTAGCAAGTTGACATGCATCACAAACAATTGTACTATAATTAAATCCTTTGAAATATAAAGGAAACATATAGCATAACAATTCAAATGAGGGATGTCCCAATCAACAGTGTATGATTCAGCATCAGTTATCTGGACATCAATGGTGTTTTCTGTTCTTCAGGGTAGAGTAATCCATCTCTCTCAACAGGTCCAATCTTTCGATCCAAAACCTTATTATAAATAAAACATCCATTACAGTCCAACACAATTCTGTAGCAAGTATCCCGAACTAATTTCAATAGGGATAGTAATTGAGCTTTAAGCTCAGGTACATGCAGAGCCCCTTTTAGAATACCCAAATTATGTATTTGGAGGTCGACTATTCCAAGAACATTTAAGGATCCACCTCCTGTAGTAAAAACTTTCTGCGAGAAAGGACATGCTGTATATGTAATAAATTTTGATTGATCAAGAGTCATATGATTAGTTGCTCCTGTGTCAAGGATCCACATCTCACTGTGAGAGTGATTGTGAGTATATAACTCAAAAGAAAATAAATTCGCACCTGTTTTGGCTAGATGAGTGGAGCTGAGCGTTACTTTTAATTTCTCCACCCCCCCACGAATTATTACAATTCATCACCAATGTTTGCAATTACTAGTTGATTCGTCTCACTCAGTGTTTGTACATTCCCTTCTGAGTTTGAATTTACTGCTACATATATTTGTCTTGGACGATGTGGTTTTCCATGTAACTTCTAGTAATTCTCTTTAATATGGCCTTTCTTCTGAGAATGATTCTCTTTAGAATAATGATTCCCGTACATCAATTTTCTGAGAATATTATTGATAAACTTGATTACTGCCTTGCTGTTCCCCACTGTTCTGCTCCATTGTAATAATATTCGAACCATTTTTGTACTTAGATACAAATGCAGTGTTAGTGGCTAATACGACTTTCTTCTTCTGTTATAATTTGAATTGCCTTATTTAAATTTGGAACTCACTCTCAATGTAAGATCTGACGTCGGAGATTTTCATACAAATTCATAAGGAATTTATATAATGTCCTTCTGTATGTACATTTGTTGTTCAGATTCTGATTTTTTTTGTTGGTCTATAGTAGTCAATCTCTCTCTAGGTGGCTTGTAATTTACATGCGTACTGTAGGACAGACCTCTCCCCTTGGACGAGGTCCATTGCCTTCCTCACAAGGCTGTAGATTTTCTAATCATTATACCTTTTTGAGCAACTCCGATGTATACAGTCCCATAAATATTTGACTGTTCTTATAGAGAAGCATTCATATGTTTCTATTTTCATGGTGCTCAGTAACCATGTATGAATGATAGCTTCCTCTGATTTCTAACTTCGGTGTCGTGGGTCAGAGGCTTCTACAGGAGGTTATGTAAGATGATCCTGTAGCTCTCAGCCTAGGAGAATCATTTCAATGAATTGTCCCTATTAATATAGATTCTTACCATCGAATCTCATTTTTTCTAGTATACCAGGAAGAACTTGATAACATTGCTCCCTCTTGCTAGCTGAAACTAGCACACTGGCCGAAGTATTTGAGGATTCTCTACTAGAAGCCATGTGATGTTTCTTTAAGAAATACGAATTGCTTCAAAAAAAGGGAACATATGCCAACTATCGCAAGAATATGAATTATAACAATCACAAGAGATTCTAGGTCACTGTTGAAGTCGTGAAATTTCCTTTCACTGATCTCTCAATCTTGAGAGAAGAAATAGGAACTAACCTGCTCTTATACTATGTCAAATCTTTGACTCTGGCATTAGGGTTCCCACACAGCCGCCAAGAGCAACTGAAAATATGTGCAGGAAAAAGACAATTTCATTCCTAGTCGTGTTGTACTTAAGTACAAATGTTAACAGTTCCAACAAGACCCAATGAATCTATATTGGATCTCATAGGGACATAATAAAAATAAAGGAAATTAATACACTAAAAAACAAAATAAGATGAAATCTAGTGAATGTTGACAGTGCACACATAAGGGCCACCATTGTTTCTTCATACTGCCTTTTCCATATTTTAAGAAACCACCATAAGGGCCACCATTGTTGAGATAGTGCTGCTTCATTATTTTTATCAGGTCATAATGTATGGACTGGCTCTTAGAGCATTATTTACAATTGCATTTTAGCTGATATCAGTGAAGCTCTTGGATGGTTCTTATGCTCTTAGTTTTGAACTAGACCTCAATAAACTATGCACTTGCTATGTGGTCGAGATTAACGTATTTTGGGATTCGACATTGCCTGTAACAAACCGTAAACAAGGAACCTGGATCACGGAAGACGTCTGAGCATGTGCCCAGGGGGCAGAGTGAGCTGTTATAATAAGATTGAACATTATTATCTTTACAAGCAAGTTACAGGCGAATACATGTTCCCTGTTTAGTCAAGCGTTGGTAGAGTATTAAGCTGAGCTTTTTGATGTCATCTTATCCACTGAAGTTGATTACATGAGTGTAAAAAGACCGACAGGACCCAATGGATCCACACTGGATCTCATAAGGACATAACAGAAATAAAAGTAAAAACACAAAACACAAGAAGGACGAGGTCTAATGAATGTTGACAGATTGCAAGAATCTGAAGGATCTGACTGAGCTTAGTCCGGCACTGACCTTTTCAGAGGCCAAGATTCCTAAAGCAAAAGTGGTGTAATGCAGTAAGCCTTCTGAAACTGATGACCTTTCATCATAGTTGTCTCTGAGAAGTCATTTCTGTATCAGGCAGAAAACTAGAGGATAAAATTGAATGGGTATCACACGCAGTTCAACCTTTGGCAGCCTATAATTCTTTGGTGCTAGATCTGTTTCGTAAGGTCAATGGCAGATATCATGAAATGTTTGAGCCAAATAAATTAAAAGTTTCTTTTGGCTTTCATGAGGCAGAAGCATCAACCAAATTGAATGGTTTATGAACTCTAAAATAGTTACAACTAATCTCCTTGTACTATTAATGTGGGTTTGGAGTTTAGCCGGGAAAGTGGCATGTTTCAGTTATTGTAGGTTTTGTGAATTGTCAATTGGTGGAATAGTTTGTTGCTTGTCTGTAATAAATTTCATCATGGTCTTAGTTATCTGGTTTGATTATGCCCTGATATGTGTTCTTTTGGTACTATATGATTTATATTTTATCTTGATGTTCTCATGATAATGCGTAAATCTGTACCCTTTGATGTAATCATAATCCACATTCCGTGTCTTATTCAGGTTTCTCGTTCTCTTGCTGCATGTGAGGGTGCTCTTCTAGTTGTTGATGCTTCTCAGGTGTGGGATTTTTCTCTTGTCTTCATGTGGATTTACGATTATGCCTTATTCTTTTTGCAGATTCCATTAGCATGGACACTTAGATATCATCTTTGAACCGAGCACAAACTGTCCGCACCTTGCTGTCATACGGAGAATTAGATCTGTAGATTATACAGCTTAGATGACAGTTCTACTCATGAGGTCTCCTTGTGATTTTGATGATGCAGGGGGTGGAAGCTCAAACACTTGCAAATGTTTATCTGGCTTTGGAGAACAACCTTGAAGTTATACCTGTAAGGGCTAAACAAACTTCTTCTATGTAATTCTGTAACAGTTAAGTTATTCTCTTCCTTGTTTCTATTTTCCGACGGATGATGATTGAGATAAATATTATGGATATAGAAAGGAGTAGACACTAACTGATAATGCTATGCACACTTCAGCATGATGGTGGGGTACTGTTAAATATCCTGAAATGGGAAAGGGTGGTGATAGAGATGTATTTGGAGATAGAAATGATAAAGCTTGCGGAAGGTGTATTTTGATGAAGTAAACATAGATGAGCTACTGGAGGAGACAGAAGGCTAAACAGGAATTCAGTTTATCTTGGAATCTTTTTATCTATTTTTTCAAAAAATATAACATCTAGAGCGACCACCTAGTTTCCTCCTGTTGCTTATCCCTCTTCCTCTTGCTCACTCCCTTCATCAGTGAAACTTCGTCTTTCGTATTTACCAAACTGAGATGTTTAAAGTCCTATATTTACGTAAGTCTTTATCATCGAACCATTTAGGATATTATTTTTTCCACTTTCCTGAAAAGCGTATCTCATATATTTGTCATTATTTTTATACTCTTGTAACCTAAGATAGCGGTCAATGTTTTTCACTTATTCTCTCATACATAGTTTTATCTATTAGCATATTTCATCCAAAAAAAATTAATATGGCACCTTTTTATTCTGAATACGCATTGTATCTCGCGTGCAATAATTTTTCCTCTGTAAAAATCGCTTCCTTGTCTGACATTGACCGCACGGTATCTTTAGAGCTTCTATGACCTGGTCTCTAAATAAATAAAACCAATTTATGGATTCAGAATCGTTTGTAGAATAGTTCCATCGATGATACATCTCACTAATCATTCGAGCAACTCTGAGGGTTCTTTTTTTAGTATTCTATGCACTATCTCTTGACTTATCAAAGATCTTTTTACTTCAATTTTGATAAAATAGGCTTTATCTACCTATATGCCCACAACATTTAGATAGTTCAGTTTACTCTCCAATCTACCTTTCATTTATTTGTTTTTCGCTGATGCTTCTGACTTCTTTCTTTTGGAGACTGTAACAATGTTAAAGATGATCCATTACCCCGATACTCACTTGAATTGGAAAAGTCAACATCAACTTAAACGTGCGAAAATTCTTTTCCCGTCTTCCACTAAACGTCTCATCTTTGTTAGCGTCTTTCATTAATAGAATTTCTCATTTCTACAGTGGCTTAGCTTCGTTTTAGCTTCTTTGAACTTCCTCAGCGACTTCTTTGCCAAGCTTCATACAGAATTAAATTGTTGTTCGTCATTCTCTTTTGTAGTTCTATGGTTTGCAGGTTCCATTATTTACAATCCAATGCAGTTGTTGTTCGATTTCTTCCTATAAAAGTTTCTATCGATGTCTAATAGACCCAGACTTCTCCCTTATATGTTAAATTCCTCGAAGTTACATCAGAATTAATTTGCATCCACAACTTATCTTATAATACTTACTCCTTTGCCAAGTGTAACTAAATTCAATTTTTGGAACCAAATTATTCTTCTTCCCTATTGAATCCTATGGATTATCATTGTTTGTTGCACACTATGAACTAGCTGTGATCTGCATCACAACATTGGGAGGTCCTCTCATGACGATAATGAAAGAGGAGTACGAGATCTTTGATAGTATATAATGTGGCAAAAAATTGTGTTTAACTAGATATGGCTCTTAAGGACAATCCTCCTTGGGCTGGTGCTTTGTGGGCTAAATGATGCCCTATACCATTGGAGTTCTCAAGTTAATCATGCCCGGAGATTCATGTAAAATATGGGTAGCTGGGTGATACTTTTCTCTCTGTTATTTAATTATCACTTGCCTGAATGTTCCGTTATTTTTGACTTTTTATCACTGAATAGTTTTTCTTTATAGGTAATAAACAAAATTGACCTCCCTGGTGCTGAACCTAATCGTGTTGCTCGAGAGATTGAAGAGGTTTGACAATGTCCATGGTTCTTGGATTCTGAATTTTTTTCGTTAAATTTACTGACCTATTCTCGGGGAATAATCATGTCTTCAAAAATCTCGCTAATCTGCTCTGACCAGTTAAATGCACTAAAGGTAAATAAGGGTTCAACTTCTCCTGTCATAAACTGCTGGTTGTATGTTCCTAGTTGGCCAGATTTTAACTGTATTCAGGTTCTTATTTTATAGATTGATTACATGAAAAAATATGTGTATGCTACGTTTGCATAAAAGGTTTCAAGAAGGCAATTCAGTCTGAAACAAATTTCCTAGGCAGTCTTGAAACGTGGAACTCGAAACCGGTTAAAGTGAACTATAATCTTTGTTTAGTTTTCTTGGTCCGTTGGGATGTCAATCCAGGGGCTCTGTACACAATCATTGCATTGTTAAGATTTAATTTAATTTTCTTCATTAAAGACCATAACCCAGAAAAATATATATTCCATCTACGATCTAAAGTGTTTATATCAAGAGCACATTTTCCAATCTGTTATAGTTCCTAGATACTTATATTAATGTAACATACAGAGATAAGAGAAAAAAAAGTCGCTTACAACCTATGTGGGTTACCGCACGTGCATCTATTTTTCCATTATTTTCTGCTAGTGTAGATATAAACTAGAAAATCATGAGCTAGAACTGGAAATAATGGTTAACTGACATTAAACTAGCATTATTTAAGAAAGCCTTGGATTCTTAAACAACCTTCAAAATATTTAATTTTTGATGGGCAACCATAAACTCTCATTTTTACCGAGCTTTCTCTTTTTATTTTCGGTGTACAATCATTACAAATGACAGTGCTCCCTGAAAACTGCATTTTGGTATGTGGATACTTCTTGACTAACAGTTTATGTTTACCAGATCATCGGATTGGACTGTAGTGACGCAATTCTTTGTTCAGCTAAGGTTTGGCAGAGTTTTTTCCCTCTTATTTCTGCTGTAAGAGATGCCTTAAGAAACATCCCATATTAAAGGCATAAATTTCATGATTTGTTTCTGTCTAGGAAGGAATAGGTATCATGGAAATCCTTAATGCCATTGTCAGGCGTGTTCCGCCTCCTCAGGAAAATGCTGATAGGCCCCTAAGGGCCCTCATATTTGACAGGTGCCTATTAATAATATTGAGTTTATTTTTTCAATCTGATTTACTTAATTTCTGTCAATTACAATGCATATGGTATTTCGTCTGTGCTACCAAATTTTGGTACCTATGAGATTCTAGGTCGTTCAACTATTTATTTAACGAAATGATGGAAAAGAAAGGGGAAAGAAATAATAAAAACCACTATTTGGATCAGGGGTAATTGAAAACTTAATAGATTACATGAATGGACCCAAACTGGAAAATAACCAAAAAAGGGTTCCCATTTCCCCTCCATGCCCATGACAAGGGTTCCCGCCATATCATTCATTTGTCTAACATGCTGGGTTGACAGTTTATCGTTGCACACTTTATAACTGGAATTCGCATCATACACACGTATGAGTTTCACATCTTAATGCCTGAGGTTCATTGAATGCTCAAATGTTGCTCCTCCTGAGGTGCATTTATTGGACTACACGGGGTTTCACTTAAAAAGTTCTTCTGAAATGTGCAAAATCTATGACATTCCTACTGGGTACTCTAAAAGACCTCTGAGCGTTTTCCCCCTGATGGTCTCCCTTTGATAATTATTTTAAGTTTTTAAAAATTATAAGATTTATTTGGTATTAATATCATGAAAGATAAGAACTTCTCATATTTTCGCTACTTTTATTTGTTACGGGCGAAAAAAAAACCCTAGGTGGACGCGATAAATTCCTAGTTTTATTTGTCACGGGTCTGGTAAATTCCTAGTTTTAGAACCTCTGGATAAAAAAGTAGGCCATTCAGGTTCTCTTCCATGCACGAGTCATCTAAACTTAATGAGTTATATTCGTGTCGAAATTTGTCTCTTGATGCTTGTCGAGTTTCTACAGATATGTGGAATTTTATGTCGAGTCTCAAAAACCCCTCCGTCACCATTAAATGTGAACGTGTAAGCAGCGATCTCCATCCCCTGGTAGAATATCCTGGAAAACTGCACCATTTTTACTACTTGGCATGCAAAGTAACAATAATATTTTTGAATGATGGAAATGTGCTACAAAAATGATAGGATTGAAGTGGAATACATAGTTCTTCAATCTTCTACATCTCCATTCTTGTCTTGAATTTTTTTCATTAACTAGAGCCATGGAATTGGATTATTTGATTAAACGATAGAAAGGAAATTATTTTCTTGATCGCAAGTTTGCTTGTATAATGTTTTTAAGCTGAATCTGCTGCTCCTAGTCACAGAAAAGAGAAACACCCAATTATTTTTTACTGACATATGAACCCTTTTTCTCATTGACTCGCTACCATCCTTTCTGTCAATTATTTTCAAGATTTTGCATTTTTTTTCTTGTCTGTCCATTTTTCATCTATCATCTCATTTCTGCCGTGTTCTTTCATGCAGCTATTATGATCCATACAGGGGTGTCATTGTCTACTTCCGAGTAATTGATGGAAGCATAAAAAAGGGTGACAGAATATATTTTATGGCTAGTGGAAAGGTAAATTTATTGGGTTATAATTAGAACATTCTAGACTTGTAAACTGTTTTACTGTGTTACTTTTTTCGTGGATCACAATACTACAAGGCATCTTTTTGAATCTCGCATTAAAGTGCTCTGGAAATGCCTCAGAGAGCCTTAAAAGTTGTGAAATGTAGGATGAAAGCCTTGCTTTTGTGGCCATGCATCGAAGAAAATATTGTTAACTAAATTATGAGCCATTCAAGAAGTGTCTTGGCATCTTATTTTAACGACTACCGAAAAGTTTTGGCGTGTTAACTTGATTCTCTTTTTGTATTCTTCTAAAAATAGGGAGCTAGAAGATATAAAACTTCATAGAAAGGGAACGATTTTTTTTTCCTCGATTGTATTGTCGTATCAGATGCGAGATCTTGTACTCTTTTCACTATGTTTGTGAATTATCTTCTTTCAATCTGTTTGGAGATGAAAAAACGTTAAATAATTATCCATATTATGGAAAAACATTCTGCAGTATATAGTATGCAAACATTTGGAACATCTTAGCCACATTTATCTTCCTTTACTAAGCTATAAAATCTTTTGTTTGATCTGTAGTCCCATAAGTGACTTTTCTTGCATGAATAACTGCTTACTCAGTCTTTGCAAGACAACTTAGCTTTTGAGGGTTTTTGAGTTGACATGGTATTTAGCAACAAAACGACAAGCATTGTTTGCAAGTGTGTAGTTTCCTTGGAAGGGACCCCACTACAAAAGTGTCAATCATTCATTGGGAAATTTAATCCTAGATGTTCTCCTTGCAGTTTACGGTGGCTCCCAATATCTTCAGAGCTATGAATTGATCCAAATTATTAAAACGCCAGTTATTTATTTCAAAATTCTATTTATATCTTTACACTCTCCCAATATGATCCTTCTTAGTTGGGATTATGTTGTGCTCCCAAACATCATGTTGGATGTTTATAGTGGTTAATAACGACTTGAATTTTTTGGTATTGTATGGAATGTGGTATCCATGTAAGAGGAGAGATACGATCTGGTGGTTGATTCCTTTGTATTATCCAGGATTATTTCGCTGACGAAATTGGTGTCTTATCACCAAGTCAGTTGCAGGTTGATGAATTGTATGCTGGTGAGGTATACAAAATTTCCCTTAATGTTGCTTTATTTTCCTCTTTGATTTATATCGGATGTATATGAATGAAGCCTGTTATTTTTTTCCACTTTATTTCATTTAATATGCATTTTTCATAGACTCATTCATCCCTGTTAGTGGTATCTGTTTTCAAGAGAAAATGTGATTCTTGTTGAAAGAATGTAGCATTTTTTCTTCCTTTAAAAATAAGTAAATCCCTCTCTACATTCATCTCGACATTGAATGTGTACTCTACAATCCAACATGACTTTTTGAGAAGTGATCTCACAAAATTATTAGAAGAGTTTATTTTGAACTAACAAAAAGCAGTGAGAAATGACAGAGGCCATCTCCACCACATAAACCATGCAGGAGTGTCTTGTTTGTGGATGGCATAATTTTCCTGTAAATACTCTGTTTAAACCCTGTAGTGCTATCATGCACAATACCTGGGCGAAAAGTAAGGTCCTGATTTGGCTTTTATATTTCATTTCCTCAAGTTTAATGGGATGTTGGGAGTTGCCATAATTTCCTGGGTGGGAGAGGTCTGGATAATAAGGAGAAAATATGGGCCGCATTTTGTGCTTGCAATCAGGTGATAACGGATTTTTTGTAATTTCAGGAATTTACTAATCATATCTAGTATAGGATGGTGTGAGGACTAGGATCGGTTGCCGACTGTGAAGGACTAGGATTAGACTAGGAGGCCACTGTGAAGATGTGGTTGTCGTCAATGAAAACTCATTCCAGGATTAAAATAATTTCCAACAGCATGTTTTATCGAAAATTATCTTTAAACAACTATTTGTCTTTTACCTCGTAGTTTTTATGAAGCCCTTTAAACATAATTAGAACAAAAAGTGATTGATATGAAAACAATGTCTCACAATAGATCATATCAAAAAGTTGTTGCTCCCTAAAAGAGAGATGGACTTAGTTTCTAATATGAGGGGGTGAATTTCCGTGAAAACTGTCTCACAGTAAATCATACAAAAAGTTGTTACACCCTAAAGGAGAGATGGACTTAATTCTCAGATATGACAGGGTGAGTTTCCGTTTTAACTTAATGGGGCGATGTATTGCGACTTTTCATAGCTGTAATGTCCTGGTCAACAGTCATCTTTCAGGTAATATTACCTTCCTTTTGCTTGTTCTGATGCAGGACGTTAGCTCATCTTATGACCACAGATTTTACTTTGTTATTTATTTATGTGCTGCATTCTCCTATTTGACCAGCATGTTTTTCTTCTCAGTCAAGCGTTGAACACTTAGGATTTATATTGAGACTTGTTTGATATGTTTATGATAACTCTTTTGATAAACTTTCATGAATTCTATATTTTCATAGATACATCCGTTTATTCGTGCTTCATTTTACAGGTGGGTTACCTTTCTGCTTCAATAAGGACAGTGGCAGATGCTAGGGTTGGTGATACAATTACTCACTTCAGTAGGAAGGCAGAACACTCCCTGCCAGGATACGAGGAAGCCACGCCAATGGTGTTTTGTGGTCTCTTTCCTGTTGATGCCGACCAGTATGTTCCTACCTCAGTTTCAATATTTTTTTCTGATCTACAACTTTAATTTTTTTTCAAAATCGGATGTTGATTACTTGACATGTGAGATAGGTTTCCTGAGTTGCGTGACGCATTGGAGAAGCTGCAGCTTAATGATGCCGCTTTGAAGGCAAGTTTTTTATGAAACATACGTATCCATCATATCCTTAATTCAATTGAATAGATAATCCAAGCCTGGTTTATGCTTGGTTTAAGTTTTTCAATTAATTTGAGCTCAATCTCTCTAGAAATATATTCAAATGTATTCACCTTAATGCAATTCATCATGCAGTCGTTTTATATGATCCCATTATGTGATAAAAGAAGATTTTATGGAAAATGTGGACTAATGATGGAAGAGTATCCGAGGCTATGAAACAGAACCCACATACAGAACTTGATGTGCTATCAATATTTAGAAGTCTGGTTGGGTTAAGTCCCTGAGGGACTAAACTCCATGTTAGGCTCAAGCTGATTCAAGCTGGTACTAGTATTTAATTCATAATGGAGTAAACGTTAAATTTTTTGTGTTAAAATAGTTACTAAATTTATAAATTTCCTTTTCATAATTACTCTATACACCAAGCACATGAAAAAAATTGGTGGTTTTACCAACTCAACTACGCTGTTTTAGTGCTCATGCTCAAACTCATCGCTGTTTTAGTGGTGGGTCAACGTGGATAGTGGTGGGAATTCTATATCAGTGTAACTGATCAACATTCATGTTTCTAAGGTTACATGAGAATCTGTTAGATTTCAGTGCATGGTCGTTAAGCAGTTTTGTGCAATTTGAGACTATTTTTATGCAGTTTGCTTGGTTACCACTCAAGATAATGCAGGTTAAGCATGGTTTTGATCTATTGATGATTAGATACAATTTCGTTTATGGGTTCTCAAACAGATGTAATACTTCTTCGAACCGTATCCTAATAATTCTGATCTCCATTGCTCATATGCATCCTTCTGACTCCCAAAAATATATCAATACTCCAGAAAAATAGACTCCAACTGTGGAAAAAAAAATTACTTGGCGCAGAAAAAGGAGATTTGTATGATAACAGCATTAAAATGTCCATCATCCAGTGCAAAAAGTTCTGAATTGAGTATTTTTAAAAGTTTCCAATAAAAAATGTGAACTGCAGTTAGTTTTTATGTTGACCCTTAACTCTTTCTCCAAATCTCTTTGATGCCATCACAAACCCCCTTGATGCATTCTCTTTAGATCCTCTGAGATACATGTGAATATTACCTTTATACTGCGTTAATGATCCTCTCACTAAACCTTTTTGGAGACTTTATTTAGAAACCCCATTGCATATGTGCGAAAGAGAAATGCTTTCCTTCTTTCTATTTTTTTTCTGATGGTGTGGAATCCCTCAGTTGTGTAAAGCCTGTGGTAATTGGAGTCACCCTTTTGTCCCTTCCTCTCTCCCCTTTCATCCACCTTCACGTGCGTGGTGAACCTTTATCCTCGAGTACTCAATGCATATTTTTCTGTCTCATTTGTATTAGATTATCATCTTCCGAATTTTATTTTTATATTTTTCCTGGGACATCATTGGAGCTATCCTATTAGATCCTACAAAATGTTCCACAAATATCCAAATGTTGGACACAATTTGTATAACATGGTGGGAACAATTCAAGTTCTCAGTTTTGAAAATATAAAATCAGTACATTACTGAATTTCTCTCTCTCTCTCTCTCTCTCTCTCTCTCTCTCTCTCTCCCCACTTGGTGCATGCTTTCTTTCCGGTGGGTGAAAGATATCACATGCTCCTCATGTACTTTTGCCAGTTATGTGGATTCCCACACTCATGATTTTCGAAACGTGGGCTTCTTAAACCGCAGGCTTTATGCCTATTCTTTTCGTTGCCTTTGTAATCTACTTTTCAGGCCTGATCCTGAAAAAAAATAATTCATGTCTGTTATCTCCGTACATAGTCCCCTTCAGTTATTTGGCATGGCTTTTACATTAAATATAAAAATGGCGACAATTAGCTGCCTTTGGATAAAGTTCTAGTCATTGTCTTCCTTGTCATGTCTGTATTCGATTCTTTTATTCTGATTTTTATATATATTATGAAACTAAAAGTAAATTATTGATCAATGTCAAAAAACTATCTGAGTTAGTCTTTCCATCATTCCTTATTTTTATCCTTCAACCTTTTGACTAACTGGTTCGATCTGATGTATTTTGTACTTTTATCATTTTTCTGTAGATCTAACTAACTATGATATCCTTAGAAGTTGAAGATGAAAAGCCTCGATCTTTTGTTTTTTGCTCTTGATTTTATACCTGTGCATTTATGATTATCAAGGACTTTGAAGAAATTGGTTTATTGCAGATAGTATCATACATCACATTCTCATCTTCCTCGCATGAGAAATTTTATAAAAATGATTTCTTAGAATACATACATCAGACATTGGTTCTGACTCCACATGTGATAGAAGCTATAGTTGCTCTGGATTTCCACGGAAGGCCAAGAATTATTAAATGCAGAAGCATTGTTCTCTTTCCTCTTCCTGAGGCTACTGTGATTGGACAAATTCTCTTCTCCTTTTTTTTCTCTTCTTAAGACAATATGAGAAAAACATTATTTTTTTAACATAAAAGAACTAGAATTTTTCTTACTTCTGGTATTTAATCTATACGTTTACTGCATAATTATCTACATAAAGTGTTGCTAATTGTCTTGAGTTTGGAAGCTGTTGGAACATTTTCTAGATCTCAGGTTTCATTGTGCAGTTGTGATTATTGCTCGCATGTGTCTATGGGTTTTTGATCTCAGATTTGTGGTTAAAAAAATTGCAGTTTGAACCCGAAACATCTAGCGCCATGGGCTTTGGTTTTCGATGTGGTTTCCTTGGACTTTTGCATATGGAAATTGTTCAGGTAAATGCCACTTCCTTATTATTGTACAGTAGTCTTCTTCAAATATAAAGTGTACTATCTCATAAAAAATTGGTTTCTTCAGGAAAGACTTGAGAGGGAATATAATCTGACCTTGATAACCACTGCTCCAAGTGTTGTGTACCGAATCGAATGTGTAAATGGTGATACTGTAATTTCTCTTCACGACTTCAGCTTTTCTCTTGGAAGTCTCATGTCTATAGTTCATTAGATATCATACTGGACTTTTCATTCATACTGTTGAACTCATTATATCAATATGTGCATTGTCCCCTATTTACTTTTTATTATTGAAATTTTAAGTCTTCTGATTATTTTTTGGAATATAATCATTGTATCTACCGAATTATTATGTTAAAGAAGGAAACATTTCTGAAGCAAGCATATGCATTATTTTTATAATTTTTTGGCACTAAGAATTAGTTTATCAACATCACAGTTGATAAATCTGGTGGCAGATTGAGTTGGAGCTCTATAATATCCTCTCATAGTCCTAAAGTGTTGCAGCTGAAGGAAAATTTACCTCTTGGATTTTTGTAATTCCTAAATAGAAGTACGAATTTAGAGTGCTCATTTGTTGCGGGAAGACTTGAATATGAAATAAATGGGAAATATTGAGTTGCCTTGGATATCTGAATTTGATTGACCTGGAAGGTTCTGGGTGTTCTTATTTTTTCTGGCATGCTTTTGACTTCATTCTCGAAAAACAAGGTTTTGGTAGAGTTTAGGTGTTTTGGAAGATTAGTTTTTGTATGTCCATGATATGTTTTCATATATTTTTTCTATTAACTGCCAATTGGAGTACTTCTCTAACCTCGCAATATTTATAAACTGTGTCATTTTTATCTTATAAATATATCTTTAAACTCCCAATTTTTGTCCAAATTACTTGTCTTCGTAGACTATTTTCACCTCCTTTTGGACATCACAGGTTAACAGAATTATCGTCTTCATTCCACTAAAGGCGCTTAAAGTTCGCAATCAATTCCCCCGTCATTGCATTATTGTTTTCTCTTTAATCGTTATATCAAGAGCTTGGTTATTAGATTTTTTAATTTAGTTTAATAATGAACAGTAATTATGTATATATTGATTATTTTACGAATGTACTAATTATGATAGGCAGTGGTGAATAAGCTTAAGTTGTCATTCTTCATGATAGCCATTCCTAATTGTAATTTTCTCTTATACTTTTTGTGTATGCTTTTATCTAAATGCAGATTGAGTGTTCAAATCCGTCGTTACTTCCTGAACCTGGGAAGAGAAAATCCATTGAGGAGCCATACGTTAAGGTCCTTATTTTTTCTAACCTTAATTTTCTTGTTGCTTATATTCCCCATACGAAAGTTCATTACAGATGGAGCCGTTATGATGTAATAATCTACCGGAAACCTAATTTTTCAGATTGAAATGCTTACACCAAAGGATTATATTGGCTCCCTTATGGAGCTTGGTCAAGATCGAAGAGGTGTGTTTAAGGAAATGAATTTTATCTCTGAGAATAGAGCTTCAATCGTCTATGAATTGCCTTTGGCAGAGGTACTTATCATAATGAAAATTTATTCTTTCTTTGAAAGGAATTTTAAATAATTTTCTGTTTAATTACAGCAGGCCAGTGAAAGGTAATGCAAGTCATGGAATGCAACTCAGGGTTTCTTTATCCATTTACAGATGGTTGGAGAATTTTTTGATCACCTGAAGTCTAGAAGCAAGGGATATGCTAGCATGGAATACTCTTTTATAGGGTAATTATTTTTGGATATGAAAATATCTGATTCTTTTCCATTGTAATGTTTATCATGCATTGATATATCTTGGGAGGCTGTTTGCTGAGTAAAATTTCAGGCATGATTTTTTGTGTTTACCTGTTCTATCAAGTTCAGGGGTGTTTGGGAGGCTGTGACATACTATGAGATTTCCTAGGATTCAGTAATTCAACTTCCAAGAGATTTGAGCGATACAAAAGAGATAGAACCCTTTTGTTGAATTACTTAGATAGTGCCAAATGTTTGACTTATTGGTCAGCAGACAAGTTAGGAATCGTTGTCTATAAATCACTCATGTTCCTGTCATGGGTACTTTATGATTTTATCGAGGCTGCAGTTACTCTTTAAAAGAACAATATAAGGCGTGTATTAAACCTCTCTAAAGGATACACTCTTTCTGATATATTTCTTACTATGCCTTTTAACACATCTCTTTCCAATCGTGGTTGGCTGCATTAATCTGGCCAAACCAGGAGAAGAATTATTGTTGTCCATCTTAACAATAGAACGAACAACATATAATTCCCACTAGATATTTGAATTTCAAATGCATATGTAAAAGTGAGGTTAATCGTGGTACATTTAATTCAAGAATACAGGAATTTCACACAGCTTTTTATTCTCAATATCTATTATGTGTTTTTACACGGGTTTTATATTTGTATAACTCAACATTAGTAGTTATGAGTTTGTTGAATGAGGAAATATGGTATTGTTTCTTAAAAAAAATCCACCAGAAGACAGGAAAATAAGATATGATGGAAAATTTATGTAAGAGACTGCCCTGTTAATTTTTAATGTTCATATAAGTTTTATATTTAGCATGTAGAATCCTAATTTAAGGTGGCATTTTTCCTATTTACCTTAGGTCGAACTGGTATATTTTTTCAGGTTGTGCATTTCTTTGAATTTTTTTGATGGCATGATCCATTAAGGAATACTTCGCTTGTTTACCAAAACTCATCAACTTTGGCAGTATGAATTCACTGCTAATTACAGAAGTTTCAGAGAGTCACCTGAAACATGAAACGTATGTATCCTATTTGTTCTGTAACCAATGTTTTGTATTGAGACTTATGGTGCCTTTTCTCATCAATAAAGCTTCCTTGAAACTTGCTTATAATATAGCTCGATTACCAATTAAAGAGAATTCTGCTTCCCTAGACACAGCAGATTTACATACTTTTCATCCTATTTTGTCAAGTGCACCCGTTTTGGAAATATTTTATTTAGTTAAATTAATGTTGGTTGTCGACTCGCATTTGACAGGTATAGAGAGAGTGACTTGGTAAAACTTGATATCCAGATAAATGGCGAACCTGTTGAACCCTTAGCAACAATAGTCCACAAGGACAAGGTAATCATAAACATTTTCAGCATATTTTGCCAATGATTTTTGTTTTGTTTTTTATGCATTTTAACTATACCATAAAATGAATTCATGGTATAGATGTATAAATCTGTTGTCCGTCAATTCATTGTCGATGTAAGATGTCGACTGACAACTTAGCAACATTTTTTTGAAAGAGATTTTGTTAAAAGAAAAACTGTATCTTCGGAAGAATGATGAAAACCATAAGGGAATGTTAGCATCGCCTGAGTTCCAAGATGGTAATTGTTAGATACAATATTATGCTCCCTGCTTTTCACTAACCTTTCAGTGTGTATTGTACTTGTTTACCAATGTGGGGTTATTTAGTGAAAACTCGTGTAGTTTTTGCTTGTTCTTGCTCTTGAGTGGAACCCGTTACAGATTTGTGCAGTTAGTGGTCATCTCATTGTATCTACTGGTTTGATTGCCATGTCACAGATTCTTGCCGTTCATAGTTGTGTATGTGCCTTCTCTTTGATTTCTGTGTCTATCCTTTATTTCCAGGCATATTCTGTTGGTAGGGCCTTGACTCAAAAACTGAAGGAACTTATACCACGTCAGATGTTTAAAGTACCTATTCAAGTAAGTCTTTTTTATTTTCTGGAGTTTGTGGACTAGTTGATGTTGGAGTAGATTGACCATTGGACACACATGACTAGTTCATGTTTAGTCTGTAGTCATTACCATCGTGAATCAAAACAGTCGATGTTTCCATGTATTGTGTAGTGAGATATGGATGCCTATAGATGTGTCTCACAGTCCACAAAAAACAGAGAAGAGTGAATTAGACTAAAGCTCTCCACGGTTCATGAGAAGAAGAAAATTTTACAAATATAGTATTTAAATGGAAAATTAATTAAAATTACTTATTGATTTGTCAAAGTTATATTTTTACTGAAAACGAGTAGATCACATATACGTCTAATCCTTTCTTTAATAGCAACCGTAGTCTCATTTTGTCATTTACTCATCAGTTTTTTGTAGTGATTTACAATATTGAAATATCACATGAACGTATGCATGCTGATGTTGGCAAAGTAGCTTTAGTCATCCGTTCACCAATGGCTGGATATGTCATCTTATTATGATTCCGTCCTGATGAAAAATCTCTGCGGATGTCAAGGTTTTAATTTCCATGCGACGTTTCATTCTCAATCTCGCTTATGGTAGACAGCGACAACGTGACAGAGAATGAATTTCCTTCTTGGGAACTTGTAATTCTTGTGCCCCACTGTTCATCAACTACATTCTGATCCATAATTCATCTAATGATAGGCTTGCATTGGTACCAAGGTAATAGCCAGCGAAGCTCTGTCAGCAATCAGGAAGGATGTTCTAGCAAAATGCTATGGTAAGGCTTTAGCGCAATCTACTTACCAATCGCTGGCCAGAGAGCCAGTTATTTAGTGGTTTTATGGCTTCCCATTTCTATGATATTGCTCTTTTTTTAATCACTGAATTACCGTTTGAACATACCTGCAGGAGGTGATATCACTCGCAAAAAGAAACTGTTAAGGAAGCAGGTGAGTCGTTTTGCATAAATATATTTCCCCTAATATATTTCATAGTAATATGAAATCTTAGCTTTTCATAGTAATATATTTCCCCTAATAAGATGTTGATATTTATCGAAATCTTCTTGCTAATAACTGTTTCTAGTTATCGGGGCAGTGTGCCGCCCTTTTTACTTCTTTTTTCTTTTTCAAAATATTTCTTGTGGCGTGGAGGATGAGATGCTAGTAGTTGCAGCGTTTGTATCTGATGGGTGAGTCATGCCCACTATGAGCACTAGATTCTTAGATTGATGTGAAGGTAAACAGCGACAGACGTCAGCTACTCCTTTCCATGGCTATGATTAGTGGTAGAAAGAAATTCCTTTGACCCTTTTCTGTTTTTACTAAACGGAGTTAGAAGGCCTCTTTTGTGTGCATTTAGACGCGACGTGTGGAAAGAGGGTAGAACTGGTGCGTTGGACCCTCCAAGAACACACTTCAGATTTCCATCACTCCTGATCAAAGCAGCCAACTTTCCAAGTCTGGAGTCTTCACTCCGATGCCACTTAGGAAAGTTTCTAGCCGAGCCCACCATGGGGAAACCATTGTATGAGATGGAGGCATGTCGCCATAAGGTAGCTTCTTGGCCAATAATAGAAGCTAGTAGGAACCGTGAGAAGGCAGGCAGGCAAGCAAGCAAGCAAGCTTTCCTACTCTCAGAGGCAGATCTACTCAGCCCAGATTTATTTATTTATTTATTTTTGCATGGGGAAAATAGCATCCACCGTTGAAAGCTGCTCCAATTCCCCAGAGTGGTGCACACTGCCTGATGCTGATCATCATTCATAGCCCTCAAGGAGCCCATCACATGTGTCACTGTGATTGATGGGTTCTTACTTAATCTGAGAGGGAAAAAAGCCCGCTATTTTAGCAAAGAACGGGCCTCCTGCTTTATCTGAGAGGCCCGCCTCTTCCTCCATGAATTGATGTTGTGGTGTTGTGTTGTGGCCCGCCAGGCGGAGGGGAAGAAGAGGATGAAATCGATCGGCAGGGTGGAAGTGCCCCAGGAAGCGTTCATGGCGGTGCTCAAGCTGGAAAAGGAGGTGATTTGACCCCCATAAGCAAGGGACAGATGAGAAACCAGAGGGGTTGTTGGTTCTCTTCCTCTGATTATATAATAAAATGGAGAGGCTGATCGTCCTGAGGTTCCCTGCCCAACTGTATGTGATTTGATCTGATCAGCTTACCGGTTTCTGATACCCGCTGGCAGCTGTAATATGTATAGTGGGTACGTACCCACTGCTCTTTTCACGTTAGAGTCCCAAAATATTCCCCACCCAAATGCATTATTCCTTGCTTCCTGCATGAAAAGCAAACTTCCTTGCCTCTCTCTCTCTACCCATTTCAAAGCCCGATTGGCCATGTGGCTACATTGAATCAGAAAATATTCCCGACCCAAATTCATATTCCTTGTTCTCTGCATGAAGAGCAAACTTTCTTGGGCTGATCGGCTTCTCTCTCTCTCTCTCTCTACTCATGTCAAAACCCAAATTCATATTCTTGGACTGATTGGCCAACCGACCGAAGTACCGTCTTTTCACGCTCAATTGCAAACCCAACGCAAATTCGTCCTTGTTTCCTGCCTGAGTAACTCCCTCCCTCTCTCTCTCTCTCTCTCTCTCTCTCTACCCATTTTTGAGCCCTCACGTCAACAAGAGGAGGTCTACTAATGAGCGCTAGATAGATGTCCGGATGAGCCCATTGACCCCTAGTAAGCGAAATATGGTATTTTTTATTAAAAAAAAATCAAAACTTGCCCTCCCCCCCCTTCCCCCCCTCCGGAGTTTTCCCTGTGCAATTCTGAGGGGTTGCTGTGCTCCACGTGAGAAATATTCTCTTCTTCTCAAGAACCACGCCTTGATTTGCATCAGAAACCTTGGGACCCCCACAACACCGGCTCCTAACAGGCCGTGGGGGGCCCGAGGTTGGATTTTCCACCACGTGAGAATCAAACTGATGGACGGCTGTCTCTTTCTGCGCACACCTGTCGGCATTTATGCAGCCTGACGCCAATCCAACACGTGCTTAAATTGTGGCAACTCGCATTGGGGCAAGCGCAGATCCAGAAAACGACGGGACATGACGCTATTGGTCCTGTTATTTATCCATTTTACCCAAAGTAAATTAACTGAAATTACTAGAAATAGAGAGGAGACTACCCTGTGTCAACGCGGGCGGGGGCCTTTTGGGATCATGGGGTCGAGAAAAATCGACGATTTCTAATGGGGGAAGACAAAGGCTGTATTATTTCCCTCTTAGAGGAGAACCCATCAGCAAGTGACTTTTCAGCCCGCCTTCCACTGTGGTGGGAGATCGGTGACTCGGATCCTTCGTCGCGGTGCCTGCTCACAGCCCACCTTCCACTGTGGTGGCCCAGCAAGTGACGGCAGAAGAGAGAGAGAGAGAGAGAAAGGTGGAGTGTGAGAAAGTCACTCCTTGTTCGTCTCTTTGTCTTTATGGGTATGTTCGGTTTCAGAATCAAGACGCTACTAAGTTGGAAGGAATGTACGATCTCTGGGTCTCGTCAAGGCATGAGTGAGAGAAGGAGAGAGGGGGGGGGGGTGTGAGAATGTCGCTCCTTGTTCGTCTCTTTCTCTTTATGGCCCTGTTCGCTTTCAGAATCAAGACACTACTCAAGATGGATGGAGTGTACGGGCTCTGGGTCTCTTCAGGGCATGGGGACATCGGGCCCTGCCGCAGTCGTCGTCGTCCCCTCGAGCTGAGCGCGCTCAGCTCTGCCGGGCGGGGGCCGGTGGCCGGCGGGAGAGTCGGCGGGTTGAAGACGACGTTACACCCACCACCAGCAACGCAGTTGGTGCGGATAAATTCTACTCCCCGGAGGGCGACGCGCCGTGGAGGATAAAAGCCCTGGGGGGCCGAGCTCGCACGTTCAAGCCATGGCGTCCACTCGATGAGAAGGAAGTAAATACGCTACGACCAGTCTCCAACAACGACGACAAACCCCCTACCCTCGCACAGCACCTACGACAGACATGGGTAACTTGGGAGCCATAGATGCGTGTGAGGATAAGTGTTGGTTCATGCACACCCTTCCTTCGCCGTGCCAAAGGATAAGGGCTGCATGCATGCAGTCAGACTCTTTCTTGTAAAGATGAAGTGGTTCGCGACTTTTAACTGAAGAGAATAATTTTATCTCGAGAATCTCACATAGATGAGATCGTTTATAACCTTGGCTTGGTGTTGCATCCTTTTTCATATCAGTCTGGTAGCGATCTTGAGTAGACAAGCTAGTGATAATGAGAGGGACGGGGAAGGGGATGTTCAGAGAGGGAGAGGAAGGAAGGGAGAAACTCTGGAGGAATGAATGGCTCGGTGTGAGCCCCAGCTGGGCTCATTGCAAGCTCCGCTCGACCATAAGGCTAACCAGGTCAACCGGCTATTAAGAGATGTGGAAGAATTAGTTGGGGGAGGAGGGCTACAAATGAAAAGATTTGAGAGGATGAGAGGGGGAAAGGTTGGACGAGTGGGAGGGGAGAGTCAAGAGAAAATTGTGACTAATCCATGCATCGGCCTTTTTCTATGCAGTCTTCATGGTTAATATCATTCACATTACTTAGGCATGTGTCGCATTTTTTTCTCAAATGAAACCTGCCAACGAAAGTAATGGATGCCTAGATCTGACAAATGGAACGATATTTTATTTTATTTTATTCATTTAATGCCTGAGAATAAACCTTCTATTAAAACTACTCTTCGACTTTCGATATGAATAAAAGTATGATATTTCCATTTGAACCATAATTATATGCATGAACCGCGAAATGTATTTTTTTAAGATAATCCTAAACTTGCGACCATTCAACTAATATATAATAAGACTTCAATTTGTGTTCGAAGTGATGAAAAAAAAGGAGAAAATAATCAACAATATATTGGAACTTTTCTAAATAGAATAATCCGAGGATCTTAGACGCTAAATGTATCCCAAGACTTGGCCAGGTGCCTACTCTCGCTGAGTCAATCAAGTAAAGGGGTTGAACTACACCCATCATCTCAAATTTTGATCATATGATAACGATTTTTTTTCAATAATCACGTACTTTTAAGATATGCCAATTAATCATCATAATCTAATTCCAGCTTGTCAACATCCTGGATGCCTGAAAGAAGAGGCCATGCCAAAAAAAAAGGCATGCATGACCAACACGTAGCTGAACAGGGGCCGTTTATTGACACAATTTTATCCATGAACATCTATAAACCCTAAAATAAACTCACTCACAGCTACATGCACTTTATCCATGGTCTCGATTTTTTTATGGGACGAAGTAATTGCCGAAATATGTCGAACCCATGCCTATATCACAGGTATTGGTTGGCTCAACGTCAACACCAGCTTTACGTCAGAAATATGACGAAATAAGGCACTATTATGATATGATCAACGAGACAAGATAGTTCCCACTTCATCCGATCCGATTCTCGGATCATGCTCTCACCGTTCATCAACAAGAACCCAAGCATCCTTCCCTATATGAGCAATGGGTTGATATTAGTTTCTAACAAGGAGGCTGGTTTCGACGACGTCGGATAAGGCAAGGCATCACAGACTTCCGCATTTTGAAAGTCAACCCAACGCGGATGCTTTGGATCTCTCATCATGGAATTAGATATCCCGGCGGAATTTCGTCGGTGGCTCATGTCACCACTCGATTTACAAGGCACAGGCCAGTTAAGAATCATCATTCTAACAAGACCTTGGCTCACCAGTCAATGGAAACAATGCCGGTGAAGAAGAAGAAGAAGAAGAAGAAGAAAATCACGCTATGTAAAAAACCACATTCATCCGTTAAATCCCATGATTATTTCTGCGAATATACATGCATAAATCATGCGCCCTCAGGTGCAACCTGGTCTACAAGTAAAAGACAAATAGTGTTTTTTCCACTATTAGGTTACGCCTCTCCTTCCTCCCCAGTTCGTGCAAAGGTTGCCGCGTGAATTTCTTCCGCTGTATTATCATCGTGATCCTTCTGGGAAGCGTAGCAGTCAGTTTTACGATCCGCAAAGCCAGAACCAAACCCAGCGGGAGCGGCCCTTTTAACTCCACGGAGTCCGGGGGTTCCTTGGGGCTCTACGTCGGTGATTCTCCCGTGAAGTCCCCGGATTCCATGGCCTTTTCCGGCACCGGCTGGCCCTCCCTCTCCGGGCTGCGATACTCTTATTTTTCTCACCGCGGGAGGGAAACTCAGGGCTTTCGCCGCACGATTAGAGGGGGAGTAGCCTCGAGGGCCCACGAGGCTCATGAGTGGGGCTGTAAAAGAACACGGCGAGACGTAGGTGCCCTCGCAAGGAAATTCCTTTAATCTGTATTACGTAGGATATATAAAAGGTGATACGAGGTCGCGGCTTCACAGTATCCGCGAACTTCTCTCTTTCTATCTCTCTGTACACCTGTCAGCAATCGGCGAGGGGGGGCAGTCATGGGGTGTCGCCGGCGGGGGAGATGCTCCGTCTCCATCTCAGAGCTCGTCTTCGCCTTCCTCGTCGGCGGCGTACTAGCGGCGGCACCTTGGGAGTTTTTCTCGCTGCCCTCGTGCTGCTGCATCGCCGCCGACGACGCGGCGGCAGGGGGCGAAGCGCCGCCCGCTTCCCAGGCGGGCTCCCGGCGGGGAGCGGCGGCGAAGGCCGGCGAAGAGGTGGAGACGAGGGAGCTGTCGGCAGCGATCATGGCCGCAGCTACCTCGCCGGAGATGGGGCGCTGGCTGAGGTGGGTGCGGCGGCGGATCCACGAGCTGCCGGAGCTCGCCTACGAGGAGGTGGAGACGAGTGCGCTCATAAGGGAGCAGCTGGACGCCATGGGAGTCCCCTACCGGTACCCTTTGGCCGAGACCGGCATCATCGCTACCGTCGGCGGCGGCGAGCCGCCCTATGTAGCCCTCCGCGCCGACATGGACGCCCTCCCCATCCAGGTCTTTCCTCCCCCCTGCAACAAGAAACCCAAGTGAGAGAGAGAGAGGGAAGATGAAAACAGAGATACCTGACCGTACCGCTAGTTGTTCTTCCCGCAGGAGGCGGTGGAGTGGGAGAACAAGAGCAAGGTCGCCGGCAAGATGCACGCATGTGGGCACGACGCGCATGTAGCGATGCTCCTCGGCGCCGCCAAGATCCTGAAGAGCCGCGAGCGTCACCTGCGGGTCGGTGCTCTCGGTCCCCCGCCGCCTGCTCCTAGCATGTTGGATGTGACATTCCTCCCCTGTGTACGATGATGACAGGGGACGGTTAAGCTGCTGTTCCAGCCGGCGGAGGAAGCAGGTGTTGGAGCACAGAGGATGATCGAAGACGGAGCTCTGAAGGGCGTGGAGGCCATCTTCGCTGCCCACGTCTTCCATGAGCTCCCAACCTCCATAATCAGCTCCAGGCCAGGCCCTGTGATGGCCGGGTGCGGCTTCTTCAAGGCGGAGATAAGAGGAAGAAGAGGCCAAGCGGGGTACCGCCAGCACTCTGTGGATCCCGTTCTGGCCGCCTCTGTCGCCGTGATCAGCCTTCAGAACATCGTCTCCCGGGAGGCAAATCCCCTGGACTCACAGGTGAAAGAAGTTTTCTAAATGACGATCATAACTCATAGCAAGGAAGAAGAAAAAACAAAAAAGGAAAATAGTTTTCAACCAAGATAACTTTTTCAATCATTATCGTCGGACCCAGTCGGAGAGACGAGACGACGGGAATGAGTTCATCCCACTGTTGGTGGACGAGAATTATAGCCGGTTACCTGCATGAGATCACGGGGTGGCCAGTTCTGCAAAGAGACGAGATCGCTGTGTTTTTGCTCCTGTCGACGACGATGGTTCAGTAACTCACCCTTGTCTCTCTCTCTTCTGCTTCAGGTGATCTCCGTGGCATCATTCAATGGAGGCAGCACCCTGGACCAGATCCCGGACTTGGTCACCCTCGCTGGCACCTTCAGGGCCTTCAACACCAGCAGCCTCCACCAGCTCCGGCACAGGATAGAGGAGGTGCATGCCGGACTCCATGGATCTCAGTTACCACTCTCGGAACCTCATGATCTTCATTTAAATAAACCCACGGGCTCAGAGCTGTGAATAAACAACAGGTGATCGTCGAGCAGGTTAGGGTTTACAGATGCACAGCCTCTGTCAACTTCTTCGAGAAAGATTATCAGTTCTATCCTCCAACAGTGAACAACGACCTTCTGGCCGAGCATGTGCGGAGGGTATCCGTTGACCTTCTGGGCCCAGAGAACTACAGGACTGTAGCACCTGTAATGGGTGGGGAGGACTTCTCCTTCTACGGCCAGGTCGTGCCAGCCGCCTTCTTCTACATCGGGATACGCAACGAGACTTTGGGATCTATCCACATTGGCCATTCTCCCTACTTCATGATAGACGAAGGCGTGCTCCCCATTGGAGCCGCAGCTCACGCCGCCATAGCAGAGAGATATCTCAGGGAACGTCACCTGAACCACCTGAACCTGCACCGTCTTTCTGCTTGAGAGATATTCTCACACCACAGCAATCGTCAGATATTCAAGCTCCGAGCCTGCCGTCGTCCAATGACAGTCAGAGGAGGCCGTGATAATCTGCTCATCTTATCTGCGCCGGGTGGGGGGGGGGGGAGGGACCCAGGATCTCCCCCTCCTTCCACCTCCCCGAGATACTGCAAACAGCTTGCAGGGGAGTGTTTCAGTGCTGTAGTGGGTGTTGTGTTTTGTTCCTCCTCAGGTGCCTGCTCTTTATTACCTTCCCAGCCTGACTGTCATTATTTCTATTGGTCTACTTCTTAGAATCTTCATTCCATCCTATTGCTGCAAGGGATCTCCCTCTAACTGATGAAAAATATTTAGTATGGGAAGATTGGGATATTTTCTTGCTAAACAACGCCAGATAAGTCTTGCATGGCACGGAAGTGACCCGTGTAACCCTGATGACCGAGTTGCATGTGGGTGGGGTGGGGGATGTGACAAACTTATCCAGTAGAGAGAGCACTGGGCAGATGTGAAGAGCCTTGGACTCATCTGAACGCAGTTATCTACCTAGATCCATCGAAGGTCTTCTTTTTTTTTTTTCCTTAGTCTTGTGGGCCAATTTTATTTTTTTTCTGATGAATTAGAACCTATGAATGGCCAGCCGAATAAAGTTTGTCCCTAACAGCAAAATATTGAGCAAAGTTTCATGCAAATCCAGGTAGGCGACAGCTAAACAAAAAATATATAAAAAATAACACTGTGATGTAGATATACTATTAAACATACTAACCATAGGAAACAAAACAAGACAAAGAAATGAAGATCAAGGAAAAGAATTTTAAAAATATATGTTTTTTCTTCGTGCTCTCCTGTTCAATCTTCCGTTTTTTTTCCTTATGTCTATTAGAATGATCCTATGCCTGCCTAAATTCATGTACGATTGAATACTGTATGGGACGGTTATACTTTCAGAATCACATTCCTGCATCTAGTCATGTGATTTTTTTTGTCTCACAATGTTTCACGAATAATCTGAGGGTGTTCTTTAATAATGACAGGGTTGAGCTGGGATCTGGGTTACGATGCCTCTCTTCTCTAGGCAGTGATGCTTATACTTTCAGAATCACATCCCTGCACCCACACCTCTAGGTTTTTCAAGCATCTCACCCACCGGGTTTTTCCTACCAAATATAAATTTCTGGAGCAATCAAGACCTCCCACACTTCACCCCCTGTCTCTCCTTTTCGATCTCCGCGTGTGAGGGAACCCCTTGGATTAATGTTGAGGAGGTTCTGTCAGGTCTGCATCCTACTACTTTTCGGAAACCCCGAGAAAGCATATTCTTTAGAACGTCTGTCCTTTTGTGGGATCCACGGACTGTTTTATAGCGAGAACAGGGCTGACACCTCAATTACCTTTCACGTAACCAGTAACCCAAGTCCATTATAGAACGGTGATTTCATACCAAGAAATCAATTGTTTTGTGCGTATGGGAGAGGTTGATGATCACCCAAGGAAATGATCCTGAACGAGGCCTCTGTGGGCACATATCTCAGACTATCATGCTTTGGGTGGTACCAGGGCTGATCCGAACTCTTGTGAGAGAGGGAATCCTCTTCCTATGGAGTATGGGGGTGGGAGGGGAGGAGAAAGGTTTTTCGAGCTCAGTCAAGAACTCGAGGTTAGCCCCGATCTAGTTCTAAAACTTTCACTGTAGGAGGAATGGCCTCCCAAAACTCTCTGGTTCCCGAAGCTTGTGACAGTTTAGCTCCCTCGTACAGACATGTTATTTTTGGACCTGCATCATGTGGGGCCAGCTCTGAGGCCTTCAATTCGTCGGAGGGTACAACATCTCTGTGGCTAACAGTAAAGAGAGAAATTCAACGGACCTTTCCAGAAAAAAGAAGTGAATTAGGAGAGATGGCAGCGTACTGAGATGGGCGTGCTCATTGGAGGTAGCTCCCTAGCACAGACATTTGATGTTGGGTCCATGAATCATGTAGAGTGAGCTCTGAGAGATTCAATTGTTCGTAGGGTACGACACTCCTGCAAAGTCACTGTGGGTAACAGGAAGAGAGAAGAATTCAGTGGGCCTTTCCAGGAAAAGAAGTGAATTAGGAGAGATGGCAGAGTACTGAGATGGTGTTCATTGGAGGTAGCTCCCTAGCACTGACATGTTATGCTGGGTCCCTGAATCATGTAGGGCAGATCTGAGAGCTTCAATTGGTCGGAGGGTACAACATTTCTGCAAAATCACTCTGGCTAAAAAGAAGGGAGAGAAATGCAGGGGGCCTTGCCCACCAAAGGAAGTGAATTAGGAGAAATGGAGGTGTTCATTGGAGGTAGCAACCACATGGCCCACGGTGAGGTGGGTCTATATATACATCTTTATATATAGATGAAAAAGACAGCCAACTAGGATGGAACAGTATAACATATGGTCCTACACTACAGGCTATGTGCTGTTAAGTTGTCTCTTTTAGGGGCTTCCTGACGACCCGCCCCACCCAGGATTCTCTCCTTTTTGGAGCTACGTGGGTGGGAACATTAAAGAAGAAGCGGATGAGACGGTTAGGACGGTGGGGGAACTGGGCGAGTGCAAAAAAGGTCACAACATTGTTGGAGGAACAACACGAGGTAATGTCTGGTGAGACCAAGGTGGGGGGAGAAGCGAGAACTCATGGGAGCCCATGCACGCGAATCTGAGATATATTGTCCTCTGCAAATAGAGATCAGGGCTCATAATGAGCAATAAATTGATCTCCTTTGTGAGACGACCAGAGATAGGTGGGGTTACCCATTAAGTCACATGTCGAGGTGGGTACCAAGTGGACCATCCCTGTTGCATATATTCCAGAAGATGGGAGTCCAGCCAAAGACCATGTGTGGACAAAGAAAATAATTGACCCTGATTTTATCAGGGTCAGGCTTGGAGGCATGCTAAAGGTGAGATGCCTAACCGGAGAAATGCATTCAGGTTAGGAAGAATTAAGGCAGTACAACTTGGAAAGATGAAAGTTTCTGGATTCGAACATTAAAGTCTAGAGACTCGATACGAAAAATGAGGCATATGGTCACTTTTTCCCATCTAAAAACCTACCGGGTGGAATAATTGAAGTGAAAATCCATGTACAGTCTAAATGCAAATATAGAGATACTATGATCGTGCATGGTTACTCGCATAAAAAGATTGATAGGGTGAGCGTCTTTTTCCAGAAAATTTTGAAATGATATGGAGCTCATAGGAAAATTAAGTCGGAAGTAGCATCCTTAAAACCGACCATTGAGGATTTTCATGTAAGCAACCAAGACTTTGTTCGGTGCACATGAAGAAAATATTGATAGGGTGAGCATCTTTTTCCAGAAAATTTTGAAATAATATGGAGTGCACAGGAAAATTATATTATGGGGCGACTGAAATATCAAGGAGATTTGGATGCCAATCAAGTGCTACATGCTAGATCGCATCCTGGAGAAACATGGAGCAGTTCAATCTACTAGCTCATTATTGGCCTGTATTTGGGTTACGGACTAAAATGATATACAACTAACAGGATGTGAGCCTCACAATGAGGCTAGTTGGAAAATAAGAAAATATAGCTTCTCCCCAAGTCGTTGAAACAAGTTTTAGTGGAACGAATGGACAATGGAAGCTCATTTCTCTTATTCTATGATGGTGATGCTGAGGAAAATGGTTTAAACCCTCTCTCTAGCAATGGCATAAGTGAATAAAATTACAACATTTGCCCTAGTATGATGGTTTGAGATAATGGTGAATCATGGGGTAAAGAGAGGGAGACGATGGGTAACAGAGTGGAGGACAAGTGGTGATGGTGATGGCCATTCATTTATCTTCCTATCCCACCCAAGATATCTCTTCTCTTGATTACTCCAGACCCATACCGGATGGTTTTTTATGTTTGCCTACACAACAACTTTCGTTACCAAAATGTCCATAGTATGCTTAACTTTGTGCACTACTATTGAATGAAATAATTATATCATACTTTGAGATAATTAATTAGAAAGAGATCAAATGAGCATGTTAAACTATCTATGATGCATGAATTTCTGAAAGTAAATAGACAATGAATTAAAATATACATGTACTTCGATGTCCTATTGAAATTTAAACAAAAATATATCAGTGTATGAAATATATTTTCAATCAAAGTTTCTATGCCTTGTGCAGTCAAGTCACCACATTACTGCATAATGTTTAAATGTTCATCTATAACTTTATGAACCTCGGCCACAACAAAGTCTAGAAAACAAAAAAAATGACATGCTAAAATATCATGATACATGAGCTCGAAGTAATATGCTCGAGTAAAAGTTCAAAAAGTATATTTTATAAAAAAACATTTCATGGTAGGAATATGCACCTCTCAAATGTTGTCTTTTTTGTTTTGTTTTCTAGTTCAGCAATTTCTTGCATCTTTTTTCTTCATATCTGAAATAGAGATTTGTGTAGCACAAGATCATCATAAATTGAATACAAGTCAACACAGAGTGTGTATCATGCTAATCATGGCTATAAAGCATACATAGCAATAGCATAGAACTTAACTTTGATTTATTTTTTAACTTGATAGGTAATAACACTCAAGCGGTCTTGAAATATTCATTAAAAGTTGAAAGATCATACGAGATATGCACTTCCTAAATTATGGCATCATTTAATACATCATCAGCACAACTTTTTAGTTACTCAAGGAGTTATTTGTTCTCTGAGCTTTCCTCTTTTTGGTTTCAAAATAATGCATCAATTTCATCTCAAAAAATAATAAATGGAAGAAACTTGTGAACATATTTTCACAAAGCTTGCACTTTCAAAAAAATACTATTTAATGGCATCACTCTCGTCATCATCATCTTTGTCATCATTTAAATGCCAAAAAAATTCAACAAAAATTATCTCTATGTATCTATTTATCTTTTATCCATTCATTTCTTTGGATTTTTCGCTGGTTACCTTTATCTATCATAAAACATTGTTGTGAAAAGTGTGCAGTATTATATACTCA